CCCTTACAAGCCCTTCCTTCCCCCCAGTCCCCCTCCCAACCGCTGAGCCGGAGGGCCGTAATTTGAGATAATAGGAAGATTTAGATTGCCATGGAAGAAGTAAAGATTTGATGTTGAAGGCAAGCGAATGCCGTCCACTGGGATTCTGTGGGACACACGGAGACAAGGCATTGCTAGAGGACATCCTCGTCTGCAATCCAATGTGCTTGCCGAAGGCCTGACACTGGTAGGACGCCAGACGCGTACGACTAGCGGCTGGCTAGATTTGCTAGGAGTCGATGCCGACGGCAGGTTGGTTGTGTTTGAACTGAAACGCGGAACACTCAATCGTGACGCAGTGACGCAGATCATAGACTACGCCTCCGCCCTTGATGAGATGGATCAGATCGGTGAACTGCATGAGCATATCGCCGAACAGTCAGGCACAGGTGGAGTCCAAGAGATCGTCGATTTTGAGGAATGGTACGGCAATAACTTTGACCAGAGCTTAGATTCGCTTACGCCTACTCGCATGTTTCTAGTCGGACTGGGCATAGATGAGACGGCCGAGCGCATGGTGAATTATCTATTTGATCACGGCTTGGATATTTCACTCCTGACATTCTACGGATTCATCCATGATGTAGTACACTTTTTTGTGCGAGATACTTTGAATCACACCCACCAACACTCTGATACTATCTCATACGGCGACAGCAACCACCGCGTGTGGCTGACGCGCGCAGGATGTTTCGCGCCGAATTGCAGAATTGGGCATGCTGGACACATTTAATGCTGTAAAAACTGTTCCGTGAGAGCACTTTCATATCACTATCACTCCTTCGCGCGAAGGTCGCGTATATGTGTCGAATGAGTTTCAATAGGGATAGCCTCGCCTATCTCTTCATAGAAATGGACGAAAACAGCAGAGCTCAACGTAGCGTTCATTCCACCCAGTGGCCGTTGACCTTGCACTTGAAGAATTTGAGAGACTTATTGCCAAAGATCTGCCGACTGAAAGAGGACCAGCCCAAAACGCGACACACACTGAACGCGTTAACTATGAGGTGAAATTTCCTCTCTATACGCTTGAAGACTGGAACAACTACAAAGACGAGCTTATCAAGCTGACCAGATCAGTATATGCTGCCTACCAGAAGAAGCAATCGAACTGACAGTTATCTCGTCAACTCCATTTAATACGTCTGCTACAAGTCCAGCAAGGAGCCATCCCCATGCCACAAGAAACACCCCTCGACGACTTCCGTGCCCTCGCCAAGCGCGGTGGTCTCGACCTAACAGAAGATACGAACGGCGCAAACACCGTCGGATCTTCGCTCGACCATCTCATAGGGACATGGACTCAGGCGGAGGCAGATGAGATGGACGCCGCCCTGAAGCAGTTCGAGACTGTTGACGGAATCGCCTGGACACGAGTGACGGCTGGCTGAGAGCCATAAAATATAGATGCAAGGAGGCCCAACCCCATGCACAACAAATCCCCCTAGACGACTTCCGCGCACTCACCAAGCGCGCCGGACTCGATCTCACCGATGACGAGCTTGAGAATCTCAAGCCCATGTACGACCACTACCTCGAATCCATAGCTAGCATGAACGCCCTCGACCTCGACGCTGAAGACCTGGCGGTCGTGTACTCGCCGGGCTGGGACCCGGAGGTATAGCCATGACCACAGAACTTCACTTCCTCACCATCGGCGAGGCAAGCGTATGCTGGAAAGCGGGCAGATCTCGCCCGTCGAGCTGACTCGCGCCTTCCTTGATCGCATCGACGCCCTCGACGACGCGCTGAAATGCTACATCACCATTCTGCACGACGACGCTATGGCGGACGCGCGACAAGCCGAAGCCGAAATCCTGCGCGGCGACTATCGCGGCCCCATGCACGGCATCCCCATCGCGCTCAAAGACCTCTACGACACCGCAGGCATTCGCACCACCGCAAGCTCCAAGGTGATGGCAGACCGTGTTCCCACCGAGGACGCCACTACAACTGCGCGCCTGAAGGCAGCGGGCGCGGTGCTGCTCGGCAAGTTGGCGATGCACGAGTTTGCGCTCGGCGGTCCCGACGAGACGAACGGCTTCCCCCTCGCGCGCAACCCATGGAACCTCGACCACATCCCCGGCGGCTCCAGCAGCGGCTCGGGCGCGGGCATCGCAGCCGGGCTCTGCATGGGAACGCTCGGCTCCTGCACCGGCGGCTCCATACGCGGTCCTGCAGCATTCTGCAGCATCGCCGGCATCAAGGCGACATACGGGCGCGTCAGCCGCTACGGTGTCGTGCCCTTGAGCTGGACCCTCGACCACTGCGGTCCCATGACCTGGACAGTGGAAGACTCCGCCATCATGCTGCAAGTCATCGCAGGCTACGACTCCAAGGACCCGACCACAAGCCAGGCGCCCGTCCCGGACTATACGGCGTCGCTGGTAGAGGACATCGAGGGCTTGCGAATCGGTGTCCCTCGCCACTTCTTCTTCGCTGACGACCCTACCATCAATAAGGATGTTCTCGCCGCTGTGGACGACGCACTGAAGGTCATGGAGGACCTCGGCGCGCATGTTGAAGAGGTCAACGTTGCCGATGCTGGAGCACGCGGGCGCGGCGCAGCCCGTCATCATGCTCAGCGAGGCTTTCGCGTACCACCAGAACAACCTGCGCGCCAAGCCCGAGCTGTTCGGCGAGATGGTCAGGGCGCGCTTCAGGACGGGCGGGCTGTTCTCGTCCGGCGACTATGTGCAGGCGCAGCGCGCCCGCAATGTGCTCAAGCGCGAGTTCGCCGACGTGCTGAGGAAGGTCGATATAGTGGCGTCGCCCACCATGTCCAACCCCGCGCCGCGCTTTGACGCGATGGACGCCATGACTACATCGCGCGTCCCTAGCTTCACCGGCCCCTACAACCTCACCGGCATGCCCGCCATATCTGTGCCCTGCGGCTTCACATCGGAAGGCCTCCCAGTCGGCTTCCAGATAGCAGGTAAGCCCTTCGACGAGCCAACCGTCTTCCGCGCCGCCTACGCCTACGAACAGAGCGCCCGCCACTTCGAGCAGAGGCCGTCGATTTAAGGACAACACAAATTGCCCTCTCCCGTAAGTTCATAGGGAGAGGGCAATAGGAACGTCGTGTTGCGCGAAAATCCCTACGGATGCTCCAGCAGTTGCAGATAGATTCCCGTCCGGGTCCTCGAATGTGGCGACCCACCCGCCCCAGTGCTCGCGCTCCGGTGGCCTCACGAAGCGCACCCCCTCCCAGCCGTAAGCCGCTCGTGCAGCGCATGAATATCCGAAGTGCCCAAATTCACCATGATGCGCTGCGGCTCTGCGTTCCTGCCATGCACCTCCGAGTGTTCCCCGATGCTGAAGCGCATCTCGCCCCACTCGAACGCAACGAAGTGTGGCCGCTCCGAATGCACCGGCAGCCCCAGCGTATAGCGGTAAAACGCCGCCATCGCCGCCATGTTCTCTGTCCAGATTATCACGCCCGCAACGCCGTCAATCATCGCTCGTTCCCTGTATCCAAATGCCGATGTCCAAATCAGAAACTGTCAAAGCACGCCTTCAAATTTGCCCGACTATGTGTATAATATGAGGTCAGGGACAGAGTGGTGGTGGCCGAAAGTTTACTGAGGGTCTCTAGGAAGGAGGTTGCTGCATTGGCTATTAGTATGAGGAGGTGCTCCAGGTAGGTGTTCACTGGAGCATCTTCTACCCCTGTGAGGGGCTTTCCCGCTTGTCGGGGAGGCCTCTCTTCTTTTGCGAGTATTCAGTGTATTCAGTTGGCCGCTTTGCCCACCACGCATAGGGCGGACACACCTTTCTGACAACTGAATACTGTTAATAAACTACTCTTTCCCCTCGAAGAACCGCCGCGGATTGTCCACCATTATCTTGTTGATGTCATCGTCCGACGCCCCAAGCTCGCTCAGACGCGGCAGCACCCGCCGCGTGATGAACAGGTAGCCATCCGGATTATTCTGGTCCCGTGCCTCCCGTGCTTCCTTCAGCGCAATCAGCAGCGCCACCGACCAGTCGTGCCCCAGCATGATGCGATGCGCGAACCCCGCCTCGATGAGCTTGTACGCCGTCTGCGTGCGCGCCTCCCAGTCCAGCACCTCCGGCCTGCCCGGATAGCGGTCAAGCCCGATCCACACACCTTTTTCCAACAACCCTATCAGGTAGTCTGTGTCGTCCGTATCGTTGCTGTGTCCCACATACACCTTGTTCAGGTCAACGCCCTCGTCCTCGAATATGGCGACCTGCTGCTCGCCCACGCGCTCCGGCGCCCATGTGTGCGTGGAGATCGGCACGCCCGTCGCTTTCTGCGCCCTCGCAGCCGCGCGCAGGATAATCTCGCCCTCCGGCGTTACGCCGCCCACGTCGTTGGCGACCTTGATTATCGCGGCCTTGATGTCCGTCCCTTCGATGCCCTCTTCGATCTCGCGAATGTACAGCGGCGCGATGTCATCCGGCGTCGCAGTCCAGAATACGCGCGGAATGTCACGCCATGTGCCCGTCGCGCAGATGATGTTCACGCCCGACCCCGCGACACCTCTTCGATCAGCCGAATGTCCCGCCCCAGGTCGATAGTCGTCACATCGATGATGCTCCGCAGCCCCTCGTCATAGGCCGCCTTCAGATCGCGTATCCCGCGCTCAATCGTCCCGCGCGGTCAATGAACTCCGGGTATATCTGCTGTATCCCCGCAGATGTAACCAGCACATGCTCGTGCGACAGCGTAAACCCTAGGTCCGCCGTATCCATCGGTCCCAGCACCGAGTTAATCGTTGCCATATTCCAAGTCCTCCATCAAGGGAAAATTCCGTTCATCCTGTTCATCGATGTTAGCTTTCGCTGGCAATTGGATTGCTCAGCGTGCCAATCCCGCTTATCTCCACATCGCACACATCGCCAACCTTCATGTTCTGCGTCGCGCCGTCCGTGCCCATCCAAATCATGTCGCCCGGATACAGCGTCAGGTAGCGCGTCATCGCGCTGATGTACGTCTCCACGCCGAACACCATATTGTTCGTCGCAAAGTCCGACACCACCTCGCCGTTAATCCGCACCGTCGTCCGCAGCGAGTCCAGTTCAACATCCGTCTCGATCCACGGGCCCATCGGCTTGAAAGTATCGCTGTTCTTCGCTCGCCAAAGCGTGCGGTCGCCAGCCTGCCATGTGCGCTCGCTCACATCGTTGCCGATGGTATAGCCCAGCACGCAAGACAGCGCATCCTCCTCAGACAGGTGCTTCGCCTCCTTGCCTATGACCACCACAAGCTCGCCCTCATACTGAAAGCGCTCCGTCGAGTCGGCAGGCTTCACGATAGCCTCGCCATGCGAGATGAGCGCGTTGTTCGCCCGATAGCCGATGTCCGGCTTCTGCGGAATGTCCGGCTCGCGTCCCAACAGCACAGCAGCCTCACGCACATGCTCCTCGTAGTTCACGCCCGCCGCGTAGAATGTCTTCGGCTCGAACGGAATCAGCAAGCGCACATCCGCCAGCGCCTGTCGCTTCCCCGTCCGCTCATACTCATCGAACGGGCTGCCGCTCACCTCCGCAACCTCATCGCCCTCCACAATTCCGAACACAGCCCCGCCATCGCCCTCATATCTCACCCAGCGCATCACAGACCTCCTTGAATATCTTGATCATTCTGTCCGGTCTATTCTTCGGTATTTGGCTTCGCGCTGCCCGCCCGCAGCCGCTCTATCAGCGGCGTAATCTCAGCAAGCGCAGCGCGCACATTCTCATCGCTCATACTGGACAATCTGAGTCCCGAGTAGTCGGATAGCGTCCTGCCGTACTATATTTAGTCACCTGTTCACATACAGAGCGATATTCTTCCAAAGTCGTATCGTATTGCAAGGCATCTTCGAGAAGTTCGACCAAGTCGTGGGTCCTCTGAAGTCTCCAGCCTTGCCGTATCAGATACGCCTTAAAGAACTTCTCAATTGCCTGCTGCAAGTAGTATCCCGCGCCTACGGGTGTCGTCCCTCAACAGATACAGTCTCGTCATAGTCCTTTCTCGCATTTGTAACCAATCTTCTGGGTATTCTGAGTCTTGTGGAGCCATGTTGTAGCTCTCCTCGGCCAACTCTACATACTTGGCAAAGTTCTCTCTCTTGTAAAGTACCCTCCCGCGCAGAATGATGTCCTGCACGAAGTGGTCTCCTCTGGCAAGCGTCTTTCAATCTGCTCAGGCGTTATATGACGTAGCGAGTCCAATACCCTTCTCTGAGTTCAGACAGTAGGGCATCAACCTCTCGGGAACGAGCGATCATCCCACCCGACACCTCGCCTTGATTATCAGCAGATCAACATCGCTGTCATGCACGCGCGCCCCATCTGCCCGCGAGCCGTAGAGTATCACCGCCTCCGCGCCATACTCGTCACGCAGCCGCGCCGCCATCGCCTCAATAGCCGCCATCGCGTCCGTTGTACTTGTGGTTGTGCTCATAACCTAGTCATCCTGCTTATCCATCCCAAACACATCCGCCACCAGTTCATACGACCGCACCCTGTCCGCGAAATCGTAGCATATCGTAACGATTCCGAGGTCGTTGGTCGCGTAGGCGTCCGCAAGCTCTCGATTCTCTCGCGCACCTGCTCAATCGTCTCCATTCAATAAGATAGACCGATTCCTGCGCCGTCTTCAGCGGCGAGACTTCCCGTTCTTCTCACGGGGCGGGTAATATCCGCCAACCTCCTCACCTTCAAGAACAGGTCCATGCTCACGAACATGCGAAATTTCCCATCCTTGCTTCAGTCGCACTGAGCTTGAGTGCAGAGTCAGGAGAGCCACAGTATGACCATTTGCCGCCACCACCTCAACTTCGTACGCCTCGTCGTCCTTATAGCAGTGAACAACAGTGCCTACATCTCCACTGATGAGCCCGTGCTCCGGAACATCTTGCGTTATTACCACAACGTCCAGTTCTTTGATAACCCTTGTAGCCTCATCAACCATCTCAAATCCTCCATCTCCTGGACTGACGCGGATACGCAGTGATAAATCGTGGATTTTCCTGCCCTGTATCAATCATCCACACGGTCAACAACTCTATGAATTCACCAATGGGTGTAGCCATTGTTCCATAAATTACGTACTTCGTGCCATAAGGTGTAGTTTCAGTCTTCGCTACATCTTCGTTTTGGGCTATCTCCAAAAGTCCTACTTCCAAGACATCCACATTGGATTCGTCAAAGCCCATGAGTCGCAGAAAAGACGCCTTTCCGAGGCCCTCTTCGTGAGTTTCCGATAGCAAGTAGTCCGTCAGCTTGGACGGATGCACCCAAGCGTACGCCGAGTTTGGAAGTCTCACCGTGTCGATGGTGCCTCCATCCCAAACACATCCGCCACCAGTCATACGACCGCACCCTATCCGCGAAATCGTAGCATATCGTAACGATTCCGAGGTCGTTGGTCGCGTAAGTGTCCGCAAGCGCCTCTATCTTGTCGCGCACCTGCTCCGGCGTCCCGTCTATGTAGCTCTGCTTCATCTGGGAAAGGTATGCCCATTCCTGCGGGCTATACTCATACGCTAGAGCCTCTTCGATCGGCGGCACGCCCTCGCGTATCCCCTGCACCGAGCGCACGCGCGACAGGTTGCGACTTGCCCCGATTCGCTTTGCGTCCTCTTCCGTCTCCGCGCACAGCACCTGAAGCGCCACATTCACCTTCGGCTCCGAGAGGTACTTCGACGGCTTGAAGTTCTGCCGGTACATCTCAGCTATGGCAGGTCCATGCTCCGTAGCCAGTCCGAAGAAGTGCGCGAAGCTGAACGGCAAGCCCATCTCCGCTGCCATCGACGCGCTATCGGCCCGCGAGCCGAGCAGCCACACATCCGGCGCGGTCGATTCCCCCGGTCCCGCGTGTAGCGAGGCGAAAGGATGCTCCTCGTCCACCGTATCGTGCAGAAAGTTAAGCATGTCGCGCACGACTATGGGGATAGTGCCGCACATCCAGCTGAGGACGCGGATACGACAGCGCAGCCGCGGTAATCTGGTCGCTCCCCGGCGCGCGCCCGATGCCCAGGTCTATCCTGCCCGGAAACAGCGTCTCCAGCATGCGGAACACCTCAGCAACCTTGAACGCGCTGTAATGCGGCAGCATCACCCCGCCGCTGCCCACGCGAATGCTCTGCGTGTTCGCCGCAATCTGCCCGATAAGAATCTCCGGGCTGGTCCCTGCGAAATTCGCAAGGTTATGATGCTCCGCCACCCAGAAACGCTGATAGCCTAGCCGCTCCACGGCGCGCGCAAGCTCGATCGTCTCCGTCAGCGCATCACGCGCCGTCCCGCCCTTACGCACAGGCGACTGGTCAACCACGCTAAGGCTAAGTTCGCTGCTCAATTCCCCTCCAAGGCCTGACCATCTAGCATACCGACTGACAAACCGACCAACCACGCCCTCTAAAACGCCTCCAGCGTATGGCTCTTCCACCGATTGATCGCAGACTGACCGCGCGGACTCACCTGCCGCTGCACATGCACATTGATGAGCGCAGGCCGCTCCAGCTTCAGGCAGCGCTCCAACGCAGGCTGCAGTTCCTCCGGATTCTCCACAATCTCGCCGTGCCCGCCAAGCCCGCGCACCACCTGATCGTAGCGCGTAGGCAGCAAGTCTGTCGCAACCGGCTTGCCATACACCCCAATCTGAATCTGCCTGTCGATGCCCCACGCCGAATCGTTACCCATTACGCACACAATCGGCAGATTATGGCGCACCGCCGTATCGAACTCGATGCCGTTGAACCCGAACGCCCCGTCGCCGCTGAACGCGATCACCCGCCGCTCAGGATGCGCCAGCTTCGCCGCAAGCGCAGTCGGGAAGGTATGCCCCAGCATCCCGGACGGCGACACATACAGCCAGCTCTTAGGCATCCGCGCCGGTAGATACGCCCGCCCGAAGTGGCAATAGTCCCCACCGTCGAACACCAGGTAGTCATCCGGCTGGAGTATCTGCATCACCGCTTTGTGTACATACATCGCATGCATCGGCGCATCCGGCACCGCAAGCGATTCCAGGTGCTCGCGCCACGCCCTGCCCTCAGAACGCAGCTCGCTAATCCAATCCAGTTCGTTCCATGTATGCTTGGAAGCCTCCGCCGTCAGTTGCCGCAGCGTAGCCTCCACATCGCCCGCGATACCCACCGCAACACCCCGATTGCGCCCGATCTCCGCCTCCGACGGATCAATCTGGATGATAGTCGCATCCGCCGCAATCGTCGGTGACATCGCGTAGCCGATTATCAGGTCCTGCTTGCGCCCCAGCATCACCACCACATCCGCCTCACGAATCTTCCGCGCCGTCTGGCTCAACCCCTGATCAAAGAATCCTAAGCAGTACCGATGATCATCAGACACCAGACCTCGAGCGTCCCCTCCGTCAGCAGCGGCAGCCGAGTCGTCTCGATGAACTCCTGCAGTGCCTCGCCGGAACGCGCGTATGCCGCCGCGCTCCCCGCCACGATGAGTGGCCGCTCCGCCCCGCGCAGAATCGCAATCGCCTGCTCAATGTCAGTTTGCGAAGCCTGCGCCGCCCCGATGCCGCGATATTCGCTTGGCGCATAGAACGCCACTTCATCCTCGCTCACCACATTCTGCTGGATGTCCACCGGAATCGTCAGATGCACAGGTCCTCGTCGCCCGCTGTACGCCACCCGCAGCGCATGCGCGATCATGTCCGGAATGCGCCGCGTGTCCGTCACCATCCACGCGCCCTTGGTAACGGGACGCGCCATCCCAACCTGGTCGATCTCCTGCATCGCGCCGCGCCCAAGTTCGCTGAGTTCCGCCGAGCCGCTGATAGACAGCAGTGGGCTTTCTGAGTGCATCGCGTTCGCCAGACCCGGTATCGCATTGGAAAATCCCGGCGTCGTGTACATAGACACGCCCGGCTCGCCCGTGATGCGCCCCCAGGCGTCCGCCATGTGCGCTGCCGCCTGCTCGTGCCGCGTATCCACGAACCGAAAGCCCATATCCGCCATGCTGTCCAGCGTAGGAAGCACATGGTCGCCGGCAATCGTGAACACATTCTTCACGCCCTCAAGCGCCAAAGCCCTGCCAATCAGCTCACTCCCGCTCACCATGCCCGTACCCGATGTACTCATCTTTTCTATCCTCTTATGAATTACTTGTAGTAGTCCCGTTCGTTCTGAGCCCGTCGAAGGACATGCATCGCAAAGTCAGCGCTTCTGCCCTATGCCCATCAATACCAGCCCGTCCACATGTTAGATTGTTCTGACTTTACGCACAACCACGCCGCGTAACATTGCATTGTCATTCGACTTGCATAAACATGATTCGCATTGCTATTATTCATATCACAATGCAAAAATCATAAATGCAATGAATGGAGGCGTCCACATGATTGAATCCGCCATCACATCGAGGGACAGACGACTCTGGCCGAAGGCGGTAAGGGAGGCGCTCTCGGTCCAGGCCGTGACCAGGTTGCGCTCACATCGTACACGGAGACGAAGTTCGCATCAGAAAGGTAAGCATATTGGCAGGCTGTTTCGCGCGCTGAAGTACGACGCCCCCCCCCTGTAGCCGGCACGACATGGAGCGCGCCATTATAGAAGGATGCGATTGGAAAGTGATTGCCCTCGACACGAATGTATTGATTGCGTATCTGACACGCGACAAACCCTGAACAGCTGAGCGGGCGCGCGCTCTGCTGCAAGGACTCACGACTAATGGCCAGGCTTCAATCTGCCGCGAAGTTGTGATAGAAGTCGTCCGGGTATGGAAAGGTCGTATCGCTCAGACGTGAGCGGATTGGAACATTGTCGTGGAACTGGTGCTACGGATACTCTGGTCATCGAAGTGACAACGATTTGCTCAGGCGGCTGCCGCCTATCGTGAGGGAAGCGCCGATTCTCGGACTGATGATCTGCTGCCGCAAATCGCGTAGGCGCACAGCCGCTTACCCTTCGATCGCCTTCGCGCGACTGGATGACGGAGCTATCGAAGCATACTTCTCGGCTCACCAATCTGTCAAGCCATCAGCCTTAATTCGAGAAACAACAACTAGAAACTATGTGCGCCTACTGCAACTTCTGTTAGCATTCTTTGCAGCGAAGTTCAGCGAAATCTGGGCGTCCCAACGCCCGCTTGTAATCCGTCAGGAAGACCGCCCTTGTTCCCACACCACACCGACCCGTCCGAAGACGTATGGATCGCCTTCGACCTTGAGACCACAGGTCTGGACGCCCAGAAGGACGCCATCATCGAGATTGGCGCAGTCAAGTTCCAGGGCGGCAGGACGCTCGACACTTTTGAGAGCTACGTGAACCCCCAGCGGCGTATCAGCCCCTTCATCGCCTCTCTCACAGGCATCCGCCAGCGCGACCTCGACCGAGCAGATCCCATCGAGCGCGTAGACCGACTCCTTCATCAGCTTCGTCGGCGCATCCCCGATCATCGCGCACAACGCCGACTTCGACCTCGCTTCCTAGAGCACACAGCGTCGAGCTGACCAACCCCGTCGTGGACACCTACGACCTCGCCTACACCATCCGACCTGACTCGCCCAGCTACTCGCTGGAAAACATGGCACAGCACCTCGAACTCGCGCACGACAGACCGCACCGCGCCCTCGACGACGCCATCGCAGCAAAGATGCTCTTCCTCAACCTGCTCGAAGATGCCGCCAATCTCAACCCCCTGACACTCGCCGCGATGCAGCGCCTCGCCCAGACTTCCAACTGGTCGCTCTCATACCTGCTCAACGGCATCGCCGCCAACCCGCGCACCCAAAGCGCATCGCCTGTCCTGGATGCCGAGGCGGACTCCAACATCGGCATCAACGGACTCGACATGCAGCGCATTTCCCGCAGGCTCCACGCCGGCGGCGTCCTCCGCGAGCACGAGAACATCACGCCCATTGACGCCGAGATGGTCGCCTCCCTGCTTGGCGAAGGCGGCGCATCTCTCGCATCATCCTTCCGGCTCGAGTACGCGCCGAGCAGGTGCAGATGGCGCAGGCAGTCACCGACGCAATCAACGATGGCGAGCGCATCATCATCGAGGCGGGCACAGGCGTCGGCAAGTCCTCGCCTACTTGCTTCCCGCCGCCTCTACGCCCTCGCCAATGGCAAGCGAGTAGTCATCTCAACCAACACCATCAACCTGCAAGAGCAGCTCCTCAAGAAAGACGTGCCCATCCTGGTCGAAGCATTGAAATCCGTTGAGGGCGAGAGCGATGACCTGCGCTTCACCCCACTCAAGGGACGCGCCAACTACCTCTGCATGCGCCGATGGAACACGATGTCCACCTCCAACGAGCAGCAGACACCCGACGAGGCGCGCATGCTCGCCAAGACGATGCTCTGGCTGCAATCCACTGCCAGCGGCGACCGCGCCGAGATAAACCTCGGGCATCCAAGAGCAGCCGCACCCTGGGAGCGCCTCTCCGCCAACAACGCACGAGGCTGCCTGCGAAACGAGAGCGTCTGCTTCCTGCGCTCTGCACGCGAGCGCGCCGCCGCATCGCACCTCGTCATCGTCAACCACGCACTGCTGCTATCCAACGCCACCGTCGGCGGTACACTCATTCCGGACTACGATGTGCTAATCATCGACGAAGCGCATCACCTTGAAGAGGAGGCAACGAACCACCTCGGCTTCGAGCTGACTCAGGCGAGCTTCAATGAGCACTTTCAGACCTGAGTGGCGAGGGCGGCTTGCCCAATCAGGCAACCACCGCATTCCGTACCGCAACCTCCGACACCGCAGACCGCAGGGAGACCGTAGAGACAGTTACTGCCGAACTTGCACAACTCCTGCCCCGCATGCGAGACAGCATCGCCCGACTCCTGGCAGGTCTGGAAGCGATAGCACAGCCTTCCGGCAACGGACGACGTGGCCCGTCACCATACGCGCAGCAGACCCGCGTCACCCGCGCAACCCGCTCCAGTCCTAACTGGTCAGATCTCGAAATCGGCTGGGAAAACGCAGACCTCGCCTTGTCCGAACTCGGCAGGCAGCTTGCGAACCTGCAAAGGGCGCTTGCCAACCTCGAAGAAGCCGGCCTGCTCAACTACGAATCTTTGACAGCAGAGTTTGAAACCGCCGCGCAAACGAACGACACGCTGCGCCGCCAGCTCAAGGAGTTCGTGGTCGCCCCCGACGACGAGACAATCTACTGGCTCACGCTATCCGCCCGCCGCGCCGAACTATCCCTTCACGCCGCGCCCCTGCATGTGGCCGAAAAGCTCGACGAGCTAGTATTCTCGCAGACCCGAAGCGTCGTCATGACCAGCGCCACCCTCAGCGCCGACAACAGCTTCGACCACATCATCGAGCGCACAGGCTTCAAAGACGCCCGCGAACTGTTGCTAGGCTCGCCCTTCGACTACCCCAGCGCAGCCGTCCTCTGCTTGCCCAAAGACATGCCCGAACCGCGCTCTTGGGCATACCAGGAAGCGCTCGAAGGCGCAATCAAGGACGCCGCCATAGCAGCCGAAGGGCGCACCATGGCACTCTTTCACATCATACAGCGCACTCCGAAGTGCCGCGCAAGGCATCCGCGACGACCTCAAGGCACGCGGAATCGAAGTCCTCCAGCAAGGTGCAGACGGCCCCCCCGCTCAGGTCGTGCGCCGCTTCATGCAGAACCCGAAAGCAGTCCTGCTTGGCACTTCCAGTTTCTGGGAAGGCGTTGACTTACCCGGAGACATCCTCAGCGTTCTCATAGTCGCTCGCTTGCCCTTCAACGTCCCCTCTGAACCGGTCTTTCAGGCGCGCTCCGAGCTCTATGACAACTCATTCATGCAGTACGCCGTACCGCAGGCAATCCTCCGACTGCGGCAGGGCTTCGGCCGCCTCATACGCACGAAAACAGACCGCGGCGCAGTCATCATCCTCGACAGGCGCGTAACCGCAAGCCGCTACGGTTCGGCATTCCTGCGCTCCCTGCCGCCCGCTCGCCGCATAGACTGTGAACTCTACCAGCTCCCGGACATCATCCGCAGCCACCTGTCCGGTTGAACTCGCTCCGCCGAACCTTGAAAAGAATCTCGGAAAAGCATGGGTGTCATGAATAGTTGTCCCGTGCTACACTATCGCTGAGATGCAGAATGGATATTGGCATGGATATTGGCGCTCAAGCCTGTGACAATCACACTCAGCGAACCCGGAAAGCGAATAGCGATATGGTCGTTATCTCCCCAAACGATGGGAGCATACTTCGCCATATTTCTAGTCCAGTACATACCGGGCATAGCGTTCGAGGCTTACACGCGCATACAGCAGGAAGCGGCGATTGACACATTCGCCCATATTGCGCTAGAAATCATCAGGGCGTCGGGCCCCATAGGCATAGGGTCCGCGATGAACGCCATAGCCGTAGCGCTATTCTTGGAGGCAGTCATGGTATTAGCAAGAATGCTTAGCAAGCAGCAGCGCGAACAGGGCCGCGCAGAAGGCATCAAGGAGGGCGCCAAGGAAGAGCGCAAGCGATCAGCCGCGAAACTGCGCGCCTGGGCAAAACAGAAGGGAATCCCGTTTGAAGAATTGCCGATCGAAGACGAGGACGATTAGAGATTCGCTCGGATTTGCGTAGTGGCATCTGCCGTCGCTTCAGACTCCACTATTCCCTACTTCGCTGACAGATCCACCCACCGCTTGTGGTGAAACATATACTGGTTCGCATACCCCGCGTGCTCCCCATATCTTTCCAGCGCCCACTCCCGCATCTCTCGCTTATGCCGCTCGGTAGGCGTAGTCTTGTTGCCGTTGCTGTTCAACGCGGGCGGCACGGGCGCATCCGGATACCAGTCCCGCATCGCCTTCACTATCCACACATCCACCGGAAACGCCTGCGGCTTGTCCAGCGCGAACAGCATCACGCAGTTCGCCACCTTGTCCGCGATCCCCGCAGCTTGACCAGTTCCGCCAGCGTTTCCTCATAGTCTGCCTCCCGCAGCGAGTACAGGTCCGGCCCCTCCCCCATCAGCAATCCCCGCGCCGCCGCTATCACATTCACCGCCCGAAACCTAGCTTCAAGTCCCGCAGAGCCTGCTCCCCCGCATCCACAAGCTGTTGCGGCGTCGGAAAAGAGCTTCTACCGCAGTCTTGCATGTCAGGATGCGGCAGCGCCTTGCCGTAGTGTATAGCCATATCCTCCACATTCGCCGTTATGCGCGGGATATTGTTGTTCGCCGAGCAGATGAACCCTATGAGACACTCCCACGGTTCCTGACGCAGCACCCGAAGTCCCCGGTGCTGCTTCACCGCGCGCGCAAGATGCTCATCCTCACTCAGCGCCCCATACACCTCATCCATGTCGTCGTCCACGCGCAGATAGTCCCTCACAAGCGAGACCAGCGAAGCCTCATCGTCCGGCGCGCTCACGAACTCTATCCCATCCTCAGCCCGCCGCATCCTCACCACATTGCCGAATATCACCCCGCAAAACCAGCCGTCGCCCTCCTCGCGCCACCGGAACGCCTGCCCGCCGCACAAAGTGCCTCTCAGGTCGTATGCGCCGCAAACGGAATCAGCATATCCCCCACCTTCCCAATTCTGCATATCGAGTAGAGGGGATTATACCAGCACCCGCAGAGCCAAGACGGCAGTGTGCTAGAATGGCAAATAGCTGTATTGACGCTGCCCTTAGAACACATTCCACTCTGGCGCAGATTTCACTTTGTCTGGAAATAGCCGATGTGAAAATCCCCGTAGTCTGCGCCAAAGCATCCTCAGCCACTATAATCCCTAATGCTCGCTTCCGGACTAATCGACAAACCAATCTACCGCTGGTGGGTATTCTCCGCCGTCGCGCTGGGAACACTGACCTCCGTCATAAATCACGGCGGCATGTCCGTCGCCCTTCCCACTATCGCCCAATACTTCGATGCCGACCTTGCCACAGTGCAATGGGTGGTCATCGCAGAGGGACTGACAGTAAGCGCACTCCTTCTGCCGATGGGCAGGCTATCAGACATCGTAGGTCGGAAGCGGATATTTCTCTCCGGTCTCGTCATCTTCATCATCGCCGCCGTCTTTGCCGCAACCTCCGGCAGCATCATCGCTCTGATAGCCGCCAAGGCATTGCAAGGACTCGGCGCCGCCATGACTCAGGGCACCGGAATGGCAATGGTAACTTCGATCTTCCCAGCCTCAGAGCGCGGCAAGGGCATCGGCTCGCACGCAAGCGTCGTAGGCACGGGCGGCGTCATGGGGCCCATCGCCGGCGGATTCCTCATTACCGCCCTCGATTGGCGTTGGCTCTTCTACATCAATATCTTTATGGGACTCGCCACAATCATCGTGGTCCTGTTGATAATAAGGGGTGATGTATTCCGTCAGGACTCTCGTAACCGAAGTTACGACTACGGAGGCGCCGCGCTGTCCACCGCCGTCCTGCTGACCTTCCTGCTTGCCGTATCCAACGGTACGCGCATGGGATGGACTTCCCCGCCGATCATTCTTAGTTTGATCGGCTTCGTCGTCTTTCTCGTGGCATTCGTCCGGTGGGAGCTTCGCTCCTCGTCGCCAATGCTCGACATGACCCTGTTCAGGAGCAAAGTCTTCAGCATCGGCATCGGCACCAACTTCATGTCATTCCTGGGCATAACCTCTTCCCGCTTCCTGCTGCCCGTTCTACCTTCAGGCCGCGCTCGGCTACACTCCGGCGCTCGTCGGCTTCGCGCTGCTCCCCAACGCCGCCAGCAGGATAATCATGGGACCGCTCAGTGGACGCCTCTCTGACCGCTACGGCTGGAGGCCCTTCAACATCATTGGCCTTTTTCTCTCCGCAGGCGGGCTGCTAATCCTTGCCACTCTCACCACGACATCCTCGATAGTTGTCGCTCTTGCGGGAATACTGATCCAGAGTATCGGCTCAGGCCTCTTCCAGTCGCCCAACTCCGCATCCATATTCAGCGCCGCCGACCCCGCGAGACATGGCGTTGTGGCGGCTTTCGTGAACCTGTCCCGCAACTCCGGCAACGTAACCGGAACGGCAATCGCCGCGTCCATCGTCACGGCCGTCATGCTCAGCAGCGGCTACGAAGTCAAAATCGACGCCGTCTTGGAAGCCACCCCCGGCTCAGGCTTGCTTGAATCATTCATGAGCGGGCTTAAGACAGCCTTCCTGATAATGGCTGGTCTGCAAGTCATCGGAGGCATCGTCTCCATCTTCAAAACCGACACTCAATCCGAGCAGCCGCCGGAAATCGGCGAACCTCAGCCCAGCGCCGAGCGCGCACTCTGAAAATCTCGCCGCGGCTCCGACCGCAATAGCCCCTGACAGGTTGAATGCGCTTAACTGACGGCTGACATCTACCCCACAAGCACCTTACGCAGGTCGACAATCTGGTCTCGCAGCAGCGCCGCCTTCTCGAACTCCAGCGCCCGCGAAGCCATCTTCATCTGCGCCTCAAGGTCCTTTATCAGCCGCGTCAGGTCATCCTTCGGTATATCGTCGTGCGTTATGTACGGCGTCGCCTGCTCCGCCACCGCCCTCACGCGCTCCGTGATGTCCCGCACATTCTTGCGTATCCCCTGCGGCGTAATCCCATGCTCCCGGTTATACGCCTCCTGTATCGTGCGCCGCCGATAAGTCTCATCGATTGCCTGCCTCATAGAGTCCGTAACCCTGTCTGCATACATGATGACACTCCCCTCCACATGCCGCGACGCCCTCCCGATAGTCTGCACCAGCGCCGTCAGCGACCGTAGATAACCCTCCTTGTCCGCATCCAGTATGGCGACCAAACTCACCTCCGGCAGGTCAATTCCCTCACGCAGCAGGTTGATGCCCACCACCACGTCATAGACCCCCAGCCGAAGGTCGCGCAGAATCTCGCTCCGCTCCAGCGTGTCTATCTCCGAGTGCAGGTAATGGACCTTCACACCCATCTCCCGTAGGTAATCCGCCAGCTCCTCCGACATCCGCTTCGTCAGCGTCGTTATCAGGCAGCGCTGACCCTTCGCCACCCGCTCTCGTATCTGGTACAACAGGTCGTCTATCTGCCCCGTCGTCGGTTTCACCTCCACCTCCGGGTCCAGCAAACCCGTCGGTCGTATCACCTGCTCAATGAAGCTCTGGCTGTGCTCATGCTCATACGGCCCCGGCGTCGCCGACACATACACCACCTGGTTCACATGCTCCTGGAACTCCTCGAAGTTCAGCGGCCTGTTGTCCAGTGCGGACGGCAGCCGAAAGCCGAACTCCACCAGCGTCTCCTTGCGCGACTGGTCTCCGCGATACATCCCCCGTATCTGCGGCAGCGTCATATGCGACTCGTCCACGAACAGCAGATAGTCTTCCGGGAAGTAGTCCATCAGCGTGTACGGCGTGCTGCCCGCCGCCCTGCGCTGCCAGGTGCCGCGAGTAGTTCTCCACTCCCTGCGCAGTACCCCGTCTCCTGCATCATCTCGATGTCGTACCTAGTCCGAGACCCCAGCCGCTCCGCCTCCAGCAGCTTCCCCTCTTCCTTCAGTCGCCGAACGCACTCCTCCATTTCCACCTCGATGTCCTGTATAGCAAGATTCATCTTCTCCTGAGACGTCACGAAGTGCTTCGCAGGGTATATCTCGATATCGTCGCGCTCCCCCAGCAATTCCCCCGTCAGCGGGTCCACCACCACGATGCGCTCCACCTCATCCCCCCAGAACTCGATGCGTATGCCCAACTCCTCATAAGCAGGCAAAATCTCCATCGTATCCCCGCGCACCCGGAAGTTCCCCCGCGCAAAGTCCATGTCGTTGCGCTCATACTGCATATCAACAAGCTGCCGCATCAGCAGCCGGCGGTTCCGAATCTCGCCCTTCCTCACATACGCAACGAAGCTCTGGTATTCCTCCGGCGACCCCAGACCGAATATGCAGGACACAGACGCCACGATGAGCGTATCCCGCCGCGTCAGCAGCGACCGCGTAGCCGCATGCCGCAGCTTATCCAGCTCCTCGTTGATGTCCGAGTCCTTCTCGATGTAAGTGTCCGTGCGCGGCACATAAGCCTCAGGCTGATAGTAGTTGTAGTAGCTCACGAAGTACTCAACCGCGTTCTTCGGGAAGAACTCCTTGAACTCCGTAGCAAGCTGCGCCGCAAGCGTCTTGTTATGAGCGATAACCAGCGTAGGGCGCTGCACCTTCTCGACGATATTCGCCATCGTGAAAGTCTTGCCGCTCCCCGTAACCCCCAGCAGCGCCTGATGCCTCAGCCCCTCATCGACGCCTGCAACCGCCTTCGCAATCGCATCCGGCTGGTCCCCCGTCGGCTTGAAGTCCGCCACAATCTCAAACTCAGGCATACGCTCACCAACCTACCGGAACTCTCACTTGAAACACCACATCCGAATCCAGGGGAATGCCCGCATCCTCATCTCTCAGCGCTTCTAAGTGAAGTTCTACTGCCTCTGTGACAGTCTCCATTGCATCATCAACCGACTCAACCTGCGAATAGCGACCGGGCAGCGCCGGTGCGCCTGTGCCCAATGACCGCCTACTTCGGCAGTGTGAATTACCTCAGAGTTATCTGGGGCAGCAATCACAGATCCGCGTCCTCTCTGAATCTATAAAGGCTGCGCCCCGTACTTGTTCTCACCCGCCTCACTTCCAAGTACCATGAAAACAAGCATTATTATTCCACCGACAAAGGGTATAAAGTTAAACAGAATAAACCATGCGCTCTTACCACTGTCATGAAGTCGCCGAATAGTCACTGCCAAAGACGGTATTATCGTAGCAAGTCCATACACCACTGCAATGACTATAAGCGCATCATGAATAATGAAAGACAAGGCAAACAATATAGTCAAGATGATCGTTTGGACTAGTGCGAACCACCAGTACTCCGGGCGGTTAGCCCGTCCATTGAAAACTGCGTACTTTTGCAGTACCCCAATATATGCCGCTATCATTACAAGCCCCTCTCCTTTTACTTACTTGCCGGGCACAAGCGGTGTATACGCCCGCGTACAGTCAAGATGCCCGATGAATTAGGCCAGCAACCGTACCGTCACCACTGCCATAATGTTGAAGGAACCCATACCAGCGACCGCTTTCATCAACCTGTCGAGACTGCGGCGTAGCCACCTGAAGTCTTCCTTCGTGTCAAGCATATCATCCATTATACCGATATACCGAAAAATCCCGCCTATTCTGCCCATCGATCCTGCTTCTGTATCACCGCAACAACCTAGGCAGCCGCTTCAAATTCTCCACATCCCTCGCCGATGCGTGATGGTCGATATATGGCAGCGCCGCTTGCAGACTCCGCGTCAGCGGCTGGTAGTCCTCGCTCCCCAGCAGTGGATTCAGCCACACAACCCGATGCACCCGCCGTCGCATCCGCTGCACCTCATACGACAGGCGCTCCGGCTCCCCCGTATCCCATCCGTCGCTCAGCAGGAACACCGTCGTGTAGCGGCTCAGAACATACTCGTGCCGCGTGTTCACATGCGCCAACGCCTCTCCGATGCGCGTGCCACCCGACCAGTGCCGCACTACGCTCCCGATCCGCACAAGCGCCTCACTGAACGACGGCGCGCTCAGCTCCCGCGTAACCCGTGTCGCCGAAGTGCTGAACACGAAGGTCTCAACCCGCTTCGTATGCTGCGACACCGCGAAAATAAGCTGCAACAGCAACTGCACGTGCCGCTCCATAGACCCGCTCACATCCAGCATCACCAGCAGGCGCGGCGTCCTCGGCACACGCCTCTTGCGCGGCAGCACCATCGCATCGCCCCCGCTGCTTAGATTCAGCCGCATCGCGCCGCGCAGGTCCGGGCTGCCCTTGCGCCGATGCCGCTTGCGACGCCTGCCCGGCCTGGACGCCATCGCCCTTATTATTCGCGCCGCGATCCTCGACAACTCCGAAAGCTCGTCTGCCCGCAGCACGCTAAGGTCAGGCGGTGTCGTATGGATGCGCGGCTGCTCGCTCCTGTGCGCAGCATCTGAACCAGCGTATTTTCGGAAGACGGGTCATCTTCAGGCATCATCGCCACGCTCGGCGTGCGCCGAAACTCTCTCGCTCCGCCCACGAGGTCGTCATCCGAGTCGATATGCGGGCGCAATGGCAGTTCCTCGAAGTTCCAGAAGCGCTCGAAAAGCGAATCATAGATCGGAATCTCGTCTCGCCGCGAAATCAGCAGCGCGCGCAGCGACCAGTACACCCGCCCCTTGTCCATCATGTCCACAGCATTAAGCGCCCGCATCACATCTGCCGTCTCCTGCGGACTTATCAGTAGCCCATGCGAGCGCAGCACTCGACAGAAGTGCGTCAGGTGCGCCGTAAAGTCATACGAAATGTGAGATGTGTCTTGATTCATAAGTGAGTTAGTGCCGAGTCAATGCGTTAACAGCCAAGCCGCAGGAAGTTCCCCGCAATGTATGAATGATAAGTATGATAACACCCACCAACACCGAGGGAACCGCGTTAGGACAAAGTCAGCCCTCTCACCTCGCCCCAAAATCGCCCATCCAAGAACTGAAACAGGATATGCGAACCCGCATACCCCATTCTAAAACCAGGACCTGACACGACCTCCCGCATCCGCGTGGCAAGGCAAAGTCCGCCTGCGCGAAGAAAAGCTATCGCTCCTGCTCCTCACGGATTTCTCGTGCGCGCTCCACGTCGGCGCGTTCCATAATAATCCGCTGAAGCGTTTGCACACTGCGCCCACGCACCTTGTGCCCGTATCGCTTCTTCTTGCGCTTCTGCTCTCGCCGCTCGCCCTTCGTGTCGCTCAATTCCGACCATCCCTGTCCGAATAAGATGCCAATATCCTCGCGATTCCTCTATATTATACAAGAGGTAGTCTATGGAGACGGGAGAGAAGTTCTATGCAGTGCTCGACTCATAAGCGCCAGCCTGCTTTATGCTTTATGCTGATTCTGCTGCTGGCAGTCCTCGCCTGCGGCAGCGAGGACGCGCAGCAAGCCGCACCCTTCAGGATTGGCGTTATGGAGTCGCTGACCGGCCCCGGCGAGACCTACGGCACTATGGCAAATCAGGTCAAGCAGATGGCTGCCGACGAGATTAACGCCTCAGGCGGCATCAACGGGCGCATGCTGGAGTTCGTAATCGAAGACTCCCAGTGCAGCGCAAACGGGGCAATCGCCGCCTACAAGAAGTTGACGGATGTGGACGGCATCAAGATAATCCTTGGAACTTCGTGCAGCGGTGCGATGCTCGGCGCCGCTCCACTGGCGGAAGCCGATGGGATAATCCTCTTCTCCGGTCTGGCAAGCAACCCGGACATCGCCCACGCCGGCGACTACATCTTCCGCACCCAGATAAGCGATGTGCAGGTCGGCATCGACACCGGCAACACCCTATGGGCCGACGGCATCCGCAGGTTGGCGACCATCACCGAATCAACCGACTACGCCGAGGGCGTCAGGCGCACTTCGGTCGCGCAGTTCGAGAAGCTCGGCGGCGAACTCGTGGCAGAGGAGCGCTACTCGTCCGATGTGACCGACTTCCGCTCGCAGCTAGAGAAGTTGGCTGTATCAGATCCAGACGCCATTCACATCGCTCCCCAATCCGAATTCGCGGCTGGCGCCATCATCAAGCAGGCTCGGGAGATTGGATACGAAGGCCCGATATACGCCGAAACCGTTTCTGTGGGAGCGACCGCACTGGAAATCGCGGGCGACGCGGCCACCGGCATGAAGGCTATCACCGCCGACCTCGATCCCGACAATGGGAAGGGACAGGAGGTCCTCGCCAAATTCAGGGAGCGCTACGGCTATATCGTGTTTCCGTGGCACATGGGATCTGCCTACGACGATGTCTATATCACCGCCGAGTGCCTCAAGCAGACTAAAGACGATCAGGACGCCGATGGATTCCGCGACTGCCTCTACGGCATCACCTGGAGCGGAGCGATAGGCGACAACTACAGCTTCGACGAAAACGGCGAGGTCGTAGGCCTCTCCCGCGTGGTCGTCGAGGTCCTTCCCACATCCGAGCGCACCGACGACAGAATATACAAGGTTCTCGGACCCGCTCCGAAAGAGTAGAATGACGACATTCAGAAAAATCCCTTCCCCTTGATGGAGGAAGGCTAGGATGGGGGTGAAATCTCTGTCCGCCAACCCTATCCCGTACACGCTCAGAACATTAAGCGAGGCACCATGCGAAACATTCTGATAGTTGCATTCGACGGACTTCAGCCCGCGCAGGTAACGCCCGCGCTCATGCCCAATCTCGCGGCATTCGTCGCCGAGGGCGTCGCCTTTGACAACCACCATCCTGTCTATCCGTCCGTAACGCGCATCAACGCCGCTACGATGGTGACCGGGCGCTACCCCGGCGCTCATGGTCTGGCCGCGAACATGCTCGTGATGCGCGACTACGACCCGTACAACGCGTTCTCCGCGCTGGAACCGACGCTTGCCGAGGTAGCCCGCAAGACTTCGGTCCTGCTGGAGCCCACGCTCGCCGATATCCTCTCGCAGCACGGTATGGAGTATGTTGCTGTGGGCAGCGGAACGAGTGGCAACTCCTATGTGCATAACCCCAACGCCGCGAAGGTCGGCGGCGCCACCATTCACCCCGAGTTCTGCCTGCCGTACCCGCTCCACGACGAAATCATTGCCAGGTTCGGCGAATGGCCCCCCGAAGGCGAGACCAACGGCGACAAGCTGGTGAGGGCGGTGGACATAGCCACCGAATATGTGCTTGCCGAGCGCAAGCCTGCGGTTACTTCGTCTGGTTCTCTGAGCCGGACAAGTCGCAGCACGCGCACGGTGTCGGCGCCGAAGTCAGCACCCGCGCCCTGCGTGAGGCGGACGAGCAGTTCGGCAGGCTGCTCACTTGGCTGAGTGATGCGGGGATGGACGCCGACACTGACATACTCGTAATCTCCGACCACGGCTACTCAACAATAACTGAAACCATAGACATAGAGGCGCTGGTGCATGACGCCGGCTTCCCGCCGGGAGACCAGCCGGGCGGCGTAACGGTCGCCACCAACGGCGGCTCCGTGCTCTTCTACGCCCACGACAGCGATTCCGCAACGGTGGACAGGCTTGCGTCATGGCTCATGGGTCGGCCCTGGTGCGGTGCGCTGGTCGCGTCCGATGCCGCAGGGCAGATCGAGGGCACGCTGCCCGCATCTCTGATTGGAACTGAAGGACAGCGCGCGCCCGATCTCGCAATGTCCTTCCGCTGGGACTCCCGTCCGAACGCGGCAGGCTTCGAGGGCTATGCGTTCTCCACGGGCGGAGGGCCCGAGCTTGGGCAGCACGGCTCCATGAGTCGCCACGAGATGCGGAACACGCTGTTCGCGCGAGGCAGCAGCTTCAAGCGCGGCGTCCGCATCGAAAGTCCTACGGGGAACATCGATCTCGCGCCGACGGTGCTGCATCTGCTGGGCGTAAGTGGCGGCGAGACGATGCATGGCCGTGTCTTGCGCGAGGCGTTCGCGGACGGCAACCCCGTCGAGTGGCAGACCGACACCCACCGCGCCGAACGCCGCATCGGTCTGGCACATACCGCCAGCACATCACCGTCTCTCAGGTCGGCAGCACGACCTACGTGGACGAAGGCAACGCCGAATTCGAAGCCGGTTGACCGCCTATATCCGGTGTGATTGACCGCATTCATGCCCGTTGATAAACTCAGCCTCGTCTCAGTAATCAAAATATGACGAGTGCAACCATGTCCCAAGACAACCAACCCGGTACGCTCCCCGCCCATCCTCGAAGTCCGCGATCTCGTCAAGGACTTCGGCGGCGTCCGCGCAGTTGACCACTGCTCCCTGGACGTCCGGCCCGGCACCATAACCGGCCTCATAGGCCCCAATGGCGCGGGCAAGACCACGCTCTTCAACCTCATCAGCGGCTTCCACAAACCCACGAGCGGCACGATAACCTTCCTCGGTCAGCGCATAGACGGCATGGAGGCGCACCAGACCTTCAGCACCGGGCTTGTTCGCACCTTCCAGATTCCCCGCGAGTTCAAGCAGATGACCGTGCTCGAAAACCTGATGCTCGTGCCCGCGAACCAGTCAGGCGAGCGCGTCTGGGCTTCATGGTTCACACCCTGGCGCATCGCCCCGCAGGAACGCGAGATAGAGCGGCAGGCGCTTGAAACTCTGGAGTTCCTCAACCTGCTGCATCTGAGGGACGAGTACGCCGCCAACCTCTCCGGCGGTCAGAAGAAGCTTCTTGAACTCGGCAGAACGCTCATGGCGAAGCCCAAGATGATTCTGCTTGACGAGCCAAGCGCAGGCGTCAGCCCCGCGCTCACCGAACTGCTGATGGAAGACATCCGCCGCGCGCAGGAAGAGACGGGCACGACCATCCTCATCATCGAGCACAACATGCATCTGGTTATGAGCCTGTGCAATCCCGTCATAGTCATGAGCGAGGGCAGAAAGCTCGCCGAGGGCACGCCGCAAGAGGTGCAGCGCAACGACGAAGTGCTCAGCGCCTATCTCGGGTTCGCGGTCGAGAGGTCGCGCATGAGCATCCTCACTGTTGACAACATCGTCGCAGGCTACGGCGAGACGGAAATCCTGCACGGCGTCTCCATGCGCATCGAGCCGGGCGAGGCGGTTACCATATTCGGTCCCAACGGCTGCGGCAAGTCAACGCTCATGAAGACGATATTCGGCTTGCTCACACCCAAGCAGGGCAGCGTCATGTTCGAGGACGCCGACATCACCGGCATGCCCACCGACAGACTCATCCACATGGGCATGTCCTACGTCCCGCAGACAGGCAACATCTTCCCGTCGCTGACCATCGAGGAAAACCTTGAGATGGGCGCGTTCGTGGACGACAGCGACGTGCGGTCGCGCATATCCGAGATGTACGCGATGTTCCCCGACCTGCAGCGCGGCAGGCGACAGCGCGCAGGCAGCCTCTCCGGTGGGCAGCGGCAGATGCTCGCCTTTGGGCGCGCCCTGATGCTCAGACCAAAGCTGCTGCTCTGGACGAGCCTTCCGCGGGCCTGTCGCCCATCATGAGCCAGCTCATCTTCGACAGGCTGAGCGACATCCAGCAGACCGGCGTCGCCATACTCATCGTCGAGCACAACATACGAACCGCCTTGGCAATGTCCGACAGGGGATACGTGCTCGCCGACGGCGAGAACCAGTTGGAGGGCAGCGCATCCGGCCTGCTCGACAACCCTGATATCGGACGGCTATACCTCGGCGGAGGCAGACCTGACGCGCCTGACGAATAGGACAAGGAGATAACTTGCGCTGATGTCAATGCAGACGATGGCGATTCGCGCACGTTCGGCGGCGCACAGCGAACTCGGCTGGAGCGTTGCGATAGTCGCAGTGTGCGTAGTGCTGCTTCTGGCTGCCCCCGGTAAGGTCGTCAACGGGCTGCTGCTTGGCAGCATGATCGCGCTCGGCGCCATCGGCATCACGCTCATATACAGCATCCTGCGCTTCGCCCACATCGCGCACGGCGACTACATGACGCTCGGCGCGTACATCACGCTCTTCCTCCTGACCGTCGCGCTGCCCGCCTGGGCATAGACGGCGCGGGCTTCGGCCCCTTCACCTTTGGCTACCCGCTGCTGATTGCCCTGCCCATAACCGTCGTCGTCTGCTGCGCCCTCGCCGTCGCGATAGACTATTCGGTCTATGAGCGCTTGCGCGAGCGCGGCACCGGCCTCGTAACGCTCTCGATGGTGTCGCTCGGCATCGCCATTGCCGTCAGGGGCGCGATACAGATGCTCTGGGGCTCCGAACCGTTGCAACTCCGCGCGCATCGAGACCCTTCTACCACCTGGAATTCGAGATTGCCCTGCCCACCGGCGGCGCGCTGCCCTTCGACATTCGCATTCCGCCCGACAACATCTTCCTCGGGTTGACCACCGTAGTGCTTGTTGGAGCGCTCTACCTGTTCCTCAACCGTACTAGAATCGGCAAGGCGATGCGTGCCACATCCGACAACATCGACCTCGCCCGTATCACTGGCATCAACACCACACGCATTATCCACTGGACTTGGGTAATCGCCGCCGCCTACGCCGCAATAGCCGGGAACGCTCATCGCGGTGTCCCAGGCGCAGATGCTGCCTACCTCCGGCTGGAACACGCTCATACCGATGTTCGCGGCGGTAACGCTCGGTGGCATTGGCAAGCCCTGGGGCGCGCTCGTCGGCGGCTTGCTCGTCGGCATATCCATGGAAGCATCCACCGAGTGGGTCTCACCCGCGTACAAGCCCGCCGTCGCATTCGCCATAATGCTGATGGTGCTTCTCCTGCGACCTCGCGGCCTGTTCGGAGAGAGGGACGCCTAAATGGACTACATATACTTTCTGGCAGGCTTCGGCATCCTCGCGGGCATCTACGCCGTATTCACGCTCGGTCTGAATATCCACTGGGGATACACAGGCCTGTTCAACATCGGCATCGCCGGCTTCTTCGCGCTCGGCGCATACACCTCCGCTCTTCTCACGACCGCGCCGCCATCCCCTGAACTGTTCGAGGACTTCATCTTCGGCGGCAACCTTGCGAACGCGCTGAAATTGGGCATCGACCTTGGTTCATTGTGGCGCTGGCTTGCGCCGCCGCAGTGAGCGGCATAGTTGCGCTCATAGTTGGCGCGATAACGCTGCGCCTGCGCGGCGACTACCTCGCCATATCCACGCTTGGCATCGCCGAGAGCGTCCGTCTTATGTTCCTCAACGAGAAGTGGCTCGCCAACGGCTCACGCGGGCTGTACAACATCCCCAAGTTCCTCGGCGATTGGGTCTCGCCCGACCAGTACGACCTGCTGTACTTCATCGTCGTGATAGTCGTGCTCGCCGCGCTCTACTTCGCCGTTCAGCGCGCAATTGACTCGCCCTGGGGTCGCGTGCTGCGCGCCATCCGCGAGGACGAAGAGGCGACCGCGGCGGCGGGCAAGAACGTCTTCCGATTCAAGTTGCAGGCTTTCATTCTCGGTCGCGGCGGTAATGGGCATCGGCGGCGCGCTGTTCGCTCACGGCTTCCGATACCTCGACCCCTTCACCTTCGACCCGCTCCTGGCGACCTTCATCATCTGGGTGATGCTCATGATTGGCGGCAGCGGCAACAACCTTGGCGCGATACTCGGCGCGTTCGTCGTCTGGGGCATCTGGAGCGGCACGCAGTTCCTTCCAGAGAGCATCAACAACCCCAACCTGCGCTTCTTCCTCATAGGCTTCCTGTTGGTGTTCGTAATCCTCCTGCGCCCCAACGGAATACTTGGCGAGCGCCGCCGCGTCTCACAGGGTTGACAGCCCCGTAACCGAAAGCGCCCAATACGCACACGCCGTATTCAAAAGACGGTCATTCTACTAGAATGAGGATGGTTGACAGACCCCAATCGCCCTGAGTCCGTTGAAGGACAGTTCTGATATCGAAGTGCATATTGAAATGCATAGTAATGAATGAGCGCTGCTCAATAAGCAAAAAGGAGCGAAGCATCCAATGATCTACGACATGCGAATCTACGACCTGCAGCCCGGCTCGGTGCCGCAGTACATGAAAGCCGTCGAAGAGGTTGCCATCAAGATACGCGACGACTACGGCGTCAAGCTCGCCGGCTGGTACTACACCGACATCGGCCCCCTGAACCGCATCGTCCACATCTGGGCCTATGAAGACTACACCCACTTCGAGAAGGCGCGCGAGCAGGTGCGCTCAGACCCGCGCTGGAATAACGAATACATGCCCCGCGTCAGAGGCCTCGCGGTCAAGCAGCAGGACATGATAATGAAAGGCGCCGACTTCTTCCCCGGCCCGCAATAGGCGATCGATTCCATAGCAACAAGACAGTTCCTACGCTATAATATAAATATAGTGCTTAGGTGAACTAAAGACGGCCTGTCGGAGGCTTGAAATGGCAGCGACCAAAGTATCCCTCGTAACGACCGCGCTCCCAAGCATCTTCTACGAAGACCCGGAGCCGGTAGAGGACGGTATGCAGCAAGCCCCGGTCATCATCGAAATCGCGCACATGCTGACGGCTTACTTCAGAAGCGAACCCGAAGTGTTCGTCTCTGCAGGAGGTTTCATTTTCTATGACCCCTCCAACGGCAACCGCCGCATCGCGCCCGATTGCTACATCGCGTTCGATGTCGATGTGGAGGGCATACGGCTAAACCTGCCCAACTACTGGATGTGGGAAGTCGGAAAGCCTCCCGATTTCGTGTTGGAAGTGGCATCGCCAAGTACGGCGTCAAATGACCTGGGGCACAAGCGCGACTTGTATGCGCAATTAGGCATAGCCGAATACTGGAGACTCGACCCTACCGGCGGCGAACTATACGGTCAGCCGCTTACTGGGGAGCGTTTGGTAGATGGTGAGTATCAACCATACGAACTGCATTCTGACGCGGACGGCACCGTCTGGGCATATAGCGAAGCTCTCGATTTAAGATTCCACTCTGGAGAGGAACTAGAATACGGCTTCGACATCCGCGATACCGAGAGCGGCAGGACGATAAACCAGGCAGAAGTTGAACGTGAAGCGCGGCTGGCGGAACGCGAAGCGCGACAAGCAGCCGAAAGTCGTGAGCAAGCATTGCTCGCCGAACTAGAGCTTCTGCGACGACAGCAGGCGGAGCAATAAAGTTGCACCGTCCATAGGTTGCATTTGCAGGTTGCTACGGCAAATACTTCCGGTTCACCTTCGCCACATAGCTGAATGTCGGATTGACGAACTGCGTGCAGCGCGCCTCAAGCACCTGCCCCAGGAACAGGTACGCCTCTCCGCGCGTGAAACCATAGTCGTGCTGTAGCCACAGAATCATCTCTGACAGAGCCATGCGGAAGGCGTCCTCCGCAGGACGCGCCATCGCGGTCGTCATTATGTGCGTCTCGTTCGTGATACGCGGCCACGTCATCCCCGCTGGCATCGGCACTAGCTCGCAGCGCAGCCGCGCAATGCCGCCCGTCTCGATGCCACCCGCGCCGCAAATCTCACCGTCGCCCTGCCGCGCATGCATGTCGCCAATATGCAGCAGCGCGCCCGGCACATTCACCGGCAGCCACACCGACGCGCCCGTCGTTACTTCCTGTATGTCGAAGTTGCCACCCCATTCGCCCGCCCAGGCGTTGGTCCAGCGCGAATGTCTCGGCGCGACGCCCACCACGCCCAGCATCGGCGCAATCGGAATCTTCAGCGTATCGCTCCACAGGATATTGCCGTCACGAATCTCCACGACCTTGTGATGCCGTCCCACGCCGCTGTCTCCCAACCACCCGGGCATCGCGCTCGTGCTGCCCCGATAGTTCGTAAAGCCGAATGGCTCAGTTTCGATCTCGCCAACATGCACTATGAGCGCCATTCCCGGCTCCGCGCCGTTGATGTAGACACATCCACTCGACGGATTGCCCGCGCGCAGCACTTCCCGCAGCCGCTCGCCATCCGGATGGTCATCCAGCCAGGGCCCGCGGTTCATCTGCGTCACAACCTCGAACTCCTCGTCCGGATCAACCCACATCGTAGGCGCGTTATCAGGGCCCGTCTCGAAATATAGGATGTCTTTGCCGGAACGCTGCATTGCGATCACTCCTTGATGTACTAAAGTGGCTGTCTAGCTAGTCAGCCTATTGCGGAGTACTTCATGCGGATTGAGCTTGCATCGGAACCGCATCCCGCACTTTGGGCATGCGCTGACCTTCCCCGGCCGATTTTCACTCTCGATGCACACTTTCGATTCTGGGGTCAGTATATCAGCAACGGCAGCGATACGAACGCGCGAAGCCAATATACAAAGCCTCTGGATGACTGATTAACCGAAACACCGAAAAACTGGCTCGCAGGCTTGCCTTTTCTATACTTATTGGCTATAGTTTGCATACAATTTTGGGATAATAAAGTACAATTCGGCTAGGTGTCCCTCGTAGGGACCTGCGCAAAGTCGAAAACCTTGATGGAGGAGATAGAGCATGGCAACTGGGAACGGCTCAAGAAGCGACGTAGTTCTGGAAGTGAACGACCTCCGAACATACTTCGTAACACGCTGGGGCTTGGTGAAAGCGGTGGATGGCGTTAGCTTCCAGCTGCGACGCAACGAGACGCTCGGCATCGTGGGCGAGTCCGGCTCCGGCAAGTCGGTAACCGCGCTCTCCATTATGCGACTGGTACCCTCACCTCCGGGACATATTGTCGGAGGCTCGGTGCATCTGAGTGGCGAGGACATTCTCCAACTTGATGAGAAGGAGATGGAAAAGGTTCGTGGTGACCGTGTCGCTATGGTGCTGCAGGACCCGATGACCGCGCTCAACCCTGTGTTCGACATTGACGACCAGGTGGGCGAGGCGCTCAAGATTCACCGGAACATGAAGGGCAATGCCCTGCGCGAACAGGTCATCGACATGCTCCGCAAGGTGCGCATCCCTGCTCCTGAAGTCCGCATCCGCGACTATCCTCATCAGCTTAGCGGCGGCATGCGCCAGCGCGTCGTCGGCGCCATCGGCATCTCCTGCGACCCCGAGGTCCTCATCGCGGACGAGCCTACCACTTCGCTTGACGTTACCATTCAGGCGCAGTACCTTCGCCTCCTTAAGGACCTTCAGGCAGAAACCGGCGTTGGCATTATGTTCATCACGCACGACTTCGGCATCGTCGCCAAGATGTGCGACAGGGTTGCCGTTATGTACGCGGGCCGCATCGTCGAGCACGCCGACGTGCGCACCATCTTCAACAACCCCAAGCACGAGTACACGAAGGCGCTCATCAACTCCGTGCCGAAGCTCGAAGAGAAGACTGGCAGGCTGGCTCAGATCGATGGACAGCCGCCGCTGCTCTACAACCTTCCCACTGGCGACGCCTTCGCCGAGCGCACACCGCTCCCCACTCTTGAGAAGGACTTCGAGATTCGTCCCGAACTGGTCGAGATTGAGCCTGACCACTGGGTGCAGCTCTCTCACTCATCAGTGGCAGAGTTCGACAATTATAAGCACCTCGTTCCTTACGGCGCGGAATACTAAGCTGTGCATAGCGCAATCAATGAAGAAATAAGGCATACAATACAAGGCTGGTGTTTTAGATATGACGACTAACGGCACTTCTTCCAATGCGGCGACAAACCGCTACGGCGTTCCGTCTGCTCCCGGTGTGGACAGCAGCTCCGACGCCATCATATCCGTGCGTCACCTTCGCAAATGGTTCCCCGTCGGCAACTCGTTCTTCAGCCGCAACAAGAGCATCCTGAAGGCAGTGGACGATGTCAGCTTCGACATCGAGCGCGGCAAGACTATGGGCCTCGTGGGTGAGTCCGGCTGTGGCAAAACCACTACGCTGAAGGTTATGCTCGGTCTCGAAGAGCCTACCGAAGGCCAAATATTCTTCGAAGGCGAGGATGTGGCGACTCTCAGCCGCGCGGGCAGGAGCGAACTTCGCAGCTCGGTACAGGCGGTGTTCCAGGACCCCTGGGCTTCCCTCAACCCTCGCATGCGCGTCGGCAGCATTATCGGCGAGCCGCTCGAAGTCAACACCACGATGACTAGAGGGCAGATTTCCACTCGCGTTCAGGAACTGCTGCAAGAGGTAGGACTGCCGGCATATCAGGCGTCGCTCTTCCCTCACGAGTTCAGCGGCGGGCAGCGCCAGAGGATTGGTGTTGCGCGCGCACTTTCGCTGAACCCAAAGGTCATCGCTCTCGACGAGCCGGTGTCCGCGCTTGACGTGTCCATCCGCGCTCAGATAATGAACCTCCTCGTTGACCTCCAGAACGAGCACGGCCTCGCGTACGTCATGGTCGCGCACAACCTCGCTACCGTGCGCTACATGTGCGACCGCATGGCTGTTATGTATCTCGGCGTCGTGCAGGAAATGGGTCGACACCGAAAGCATCTTCAACAACCCCGTCCACCTGTACACCAACGCGCTCCTCTCAGCAGCGCTCCCGTCGCACCCGGATATCCAGCGCGAAGAGATTGTCCTGCCCGGTGAGGTCGTATCCCCGGTTGACCCGCCGGAAGGCGATGTCTTCATGACACGCACGCCCCTTGAGGTGGACCCCAACCACGAATATGCCAAGACGCGCCCGCCTCTCATAGAGGTAGAGCCGGACCACTGGGTAACCATCACCCCATGGAGCACCATCGGCAACGCCGCCGAGCAGGGCGTTGACCTCACAACTCTGTTGGAATAACGGCAAGAAAGGGCAAATAAACGCAAAGAAGAGGGGGGCAGGTCATTGACCGCCCCCCTTTCTGCTTATCTTAGTCTGTCCTTCCTATACGGCTCGGCTTAGTTCACCGTGAATGTCCCGACCTTCACTCCGTCGCAGAGAATGTCGAACGCCCCTGCGCCCGCAGCGCTGAAGTCGTAGCTTTTGCGCCCGCCCGACTCAATCTCGATGTTCACATCGGTGACTCCCAGTCCGAACGCGCCGCCGGAGCTGGCTATCGTAAGCCCGTCAACTTGGTAGGTCGCCAGCTCGCGCTCGCCCTCCAGCGTCGTGGAGCCGGTCGCGGTCGTCTTAAGTTCCAGATCCGATTGCAGCTGTACGGCGAGACGAACGCGCTGACCGTCCGCGATCGTAATATCGGCGGGGTCCACGGTGCAGCCGCCGTCGGTCTTTTCAACATCCACACGGAACTGCTCGAACGCAGTAACTGGAGAGCGGTGAAATTCGCCGGTCCTATCGTCGTCTCTACGGGCCGGAGTGCGATCCCCGGACTCCACGCCGCATGCCAGCAGGAGCATGCTTATCAATCCGAGCAACAAGGCTACATACAGCAGCGGGACCCGCCGCGTGATATTCCGGACACCTGTCTTCTTCGGCACCCTTTTCAGCATATATCTCTTCACCCCTTCCGAGAGTGTCAATCTTTCGCATTGTATTGGTTAGCTAGGCAGTGCAATGCCTGTGCGTGAATTTCGAAGGCCTATGCGTCAAGGCATCTATATGTTCATGAATTATAATGGCGCTCCGCTTAAGGTCAAGCCCGAACGGAGCGCCAAACATATTCTTTTCTTAGACCGATACTGTCCCCAGACCTGGCTTGGTCTCAAAGGCTAAAGCTGCCGCAGCCTCGGATCGAAGCGGTCACGCATCCAGTCCCCAAGGAAGTTCAACGACATCACCACCAAGAATATAGCCACTCCTGGGAAGAACGAAATCCACCACGCATATTGCACAAAGGGGCGACCGTCATTCACCATAGCGCCCCAGGCAGGTGTGGGCGGCGGAATGCCGGCGCCGAGGAAGCTCAGAATCGCTTCGGTAAGAATGAGCTGCCCAACCCGCAAGGTAGCAATCACGATAACTGTGTTGACGACGCCGGGCAGCAAGTGCCAGACCATTATGCGGAACGTGGACGCGCCCGCGACCTGCGCGAGGCTCACATAGTCGCGCGTCTTGAGCGAAAGCACCTCGCCGCGCACATTACGCACGAACGGCGTCCACGACAGCAACGCCAGCAATCCAATCAGAATGATGAATGTCTGCCCGATCGCTATCACAATCACGATGGCGACCAGAATGAACGGCATGCCGAGCCAGATGTCGGTAATACGCATTATGACTTCGTCCAGCCAGCCACCGAACCAGCCAGCCACAAGCCCCATCGATACTCCGATGAGCAGGCCGCTGGACAGCGCGATGGCTACGACCACGAGCGACACCCGCGCGCCATGCACAAGACGGCTGAACAGGTCACGCCCAATGTTATCGCCGCCCAGGATGTAGTCGGACTGCGGTACGCGCACCTTCGCGCGGAGGTTAACCTGCTCGAAGAAGGCAGCTACAATAGCAGCCTCGTTCTTCAAATCCTCTTCCGGTATGACTACGCCGAAGCGCGCCGCCGCATCGGAGACATTGGCGTAAACCGGCCTGGGTATGGCGGCGTCCTGCACCTTCACTTCGAGGTTTGCCTGTCCCTTGAACGCGCTCGCAACTACTGTGCCGCCGTATAGCGGGTCAGCGAGTTGCTCAAGCGCAATTTCGACGCCATACTCATCCGCGGCGTCGATTATGTTGAGACCGACGGGCGTCCAGGGCTCGTCCGGGCCACCTGCTATGTCGCGAACCTCGATAATCGTCGCCACTTCCATCACGACCGCGCGCACACCGGCTTGCTGGTTGAACGCCGAGCGCACCTTGGACTTATCGCCTACTTCCTCGTCCGGAATAGTAACATTGTACTGCTCGGCTGCTGAGGCTATGCTCTGCACTCCAGTTACACCGTCAATAGCTACGACAATAGGCAAATCTTGCACCGATACAAGCTGAGCATCGTACCAGATAGGCGCGAGAGTGGTGTTGTCCGGGATTGACCTGATTGGGTCGTTCGGACCGATGAAATTAGCGAATGCCGCCGTGATGAGGAGCAGCGCAAGCACTACGATCGACACCAACGGCCATCGCTTGATGGTGTTCCAAAAGCCCTTTATCCCGGAAGTTGACTCTACCAGACCTTCATTCAGGTTGGTTAACAGTTCTGCTTGAGCCATTGCAAATCACCTTTACGAGTAGCGTATGCGCGGGTCTATCAGCGCGTACAACATGTCAGTCAGGAAGTTCATCACCACATAGAAGGTCGTGAACACCATCACCACGGCAACCATTACCGGGAAGTCATTGTCCTGAATGGACCCGAAAGCCAGTCTGCCAAGCCCATTGATGGCGAATATCGATTCCGTCACCACCGCCCCTGTGATGAAGCCGGTCAGCAACAGCGCCGAGAATGTCAGCGGCGCGATAAGCGCATTCCTGAACCCATGCTTCCAAATCACTGTGTTGGTCGATACGCCCTTGGCGCGCGCAAGCTTGATGAACTCAGAGTCGAGAATCTCAAGCATCGCGGAGCGCACTAGCCGTAGATAGCTTGCCGCCGCTATCCAGCCCAGCGTTATCGTGGGCAGGACGTAATATTTCCAAGGGAATATACCTTCGCCCAACGTGCCCGTAGGCAGCCATCCGAGGCGCACTGAGAACAGCAGAATGAGCATGATCGCCACCCAGAAAACGGGCAGCGCCTGCCCGAAGAGCGCAAAGCCGCGCCCTAGCAGGTCAACGAAACTCCCGCGCTTCACAGCCGAAAGCACACCTAACGGCACGCCGATTATAGTGGCGAACAGGTAAGATGCCAGCGCCAGCTTCAAAGTTACCGGGAGACTGAGCTTAACCTTGTCGAAGACGCTCTTCCTGTCGATGAGGCTGTCCTGCCAGTCGCCCTTCACAATGTTGCCCAGCCAGACCGCGTACTGCCAGACAATCGGCTTGTCCAGCCCAAGCTCCACCCCGAGCGCGTCCCAGCGCTCTTGCGTAATGCCGTAGCCCCCCTCCTGCGCGTACAGGTAGCGCGGGTCGCCAGCAGCCCGGGACAAGCTGAATGTCAAAAGCGTCGCCCCCATAAGAGCAAGCGCGCCGAAGCCGATGCGTCTGATAAGGAAGTTTACCATTTATTCACGCTTCTCCCGGTATTGTTGACTGCTCATCATATGCGCATCAAGGAGGGCAGGAGGCGACTTGCGAGTGACGGATGAGCTGCATTAGCGCGGTTCATTTCACTGTGGATATACTAACTAAAGTCGCTTATGTCCAGCGCAGGCGCCCCCGTCTTGGCGAAGGACGCCTGCGTAATTTCTAACTCAATATCAGTGTCTGCTTCCAGACTTACTGAGCCACTTTGATGGTGCGAACATTGTTGATGCCCGCTAGATTACCATTAGCCATAGGCCTCTGGTCCCAGACGGTAACCTGGTCAACATTATAGGCCGGCCAGATTGGGAACTCGAAGACGCCCACGCACATCGCCCATTCGCGGTTGCTGGTATAGAAAGCCGTGGCAAGCTCTTCGCGCTTCGCCTTGTCAGGCTCACCGGCCATCTGCAGGTAAGATTCAGCAGCCCAGGGGACTTCCATTGCTACGCCGTAACCGCCAGCGCTGATGGAGCTCATGACGAAGCCATGCGCCCAGTCAAACGGGAAGTTGGAGTGGTTCTCGTCGCCGCAGCCCGTGAACGGAGTCTTGTTCGTGCGGGCAACGAGGCCCGGGCGGAAAGTGCCGTACTCGGTCTTGATCAGGTTGACCTTGACGTCGAGGTTCTGCTGCCAGCCAGCGCCGACTGCCTCACCAACATGCGCGTTAAGCTCGCCCGTGCCGATCCACATATCCATCTCGAATCCGTCAGGATGTCCCGCTTCGGCTAGAAGACTCTTGGCCTGGTCGTAGTCGGTGCCCCAACTCCAGTCCTCATCATAGCTTGGGTTGTTGATGGAGAGATAAGGCTGGTGGTTGACCACACCCAGACCGGAGATGATGTTCTCTACCAGGTCGTCGCGCTCGATGCCCCATGCCAGCGCGTTGCGCACCAGCTTCGAGGACTGCATTGAAGGGGTGTTCTCGTCATAAGCGCCACTCTCGAACGGGTTGCCGATGTACGGGTAGCCGTCGGTCTCGCGGTCGCGTTCGAGCTTCTCACCCGTCAGCGCGCCGAACTCTTCCCAGTAGTTGCCTGACGCCATAGAGACGTTGAACATAGCGTTGTGCGCGCCGCCGCGCTGTGCGTCGAAGCGGCTTCCGCGAGTAGATTCGGAAGCGCCGCCAGTTCAACCTGCGCTATCTGCGCCTCGCCAGCCTGCAATGCGGCTACGCGGGACTCACCGGCAGGAATGTCGCGCCATTCAAGCTCCTGCACGAAGGGGCCTATGTTGCCCTCGCCACGCGCGTAGTAGTCGGGGAACGCCGTCATCTTGATGTGCTTCTGCAGCACCCAGCCCTCGGTGTCATGCGGTTTGTTCACTTGAAACGCGCCCACGCCAACGTATGTCCTCTGCATGCCCTCAACGCCCAAGTCGTCGAAGACTGCCTTACTGACGATTCCCGCCGTCTGCCAGAAGCGGCTGAAGCGGTGAAGGACGCCGCGGCTGTCGTAGTTACGGTAGTTGAGACGCACGGTGTAGGGGTCGATAGCCTCCATGTTGGCAATCAGCGGAGCGAAGTCACCCGCCTGCCCGTGCACGCTCTCAGGGTTGGTAACCGAGTTCGCGTCGTTATAAGAGAACGCCACGTCCTCGGCAGTCATTTCTCCGTAGCCGTCATGGAACTGCACACCCTCGCGTAGGGTGAAGTCGCCATACTCCAGCGACGGGTCTAGCGTGAACTCCGTGGCAAGCATCGGCTCGGTTGTAGCTGAGCCCGTTGCGTCCAACGCGGAGTTGAACAGCGTCTCAGTGATGCCCGCCATGTAGATGATCTCCGCGCAGCCGCCCGCGCTTGCGGAACAGAAGCGAGGAAGGCCATTCGGCGCACCGATGCGCGTTACTGCAATGAGCAACTTGCCCGTCGGCATGTCTTCCATCATCGTGCTGCCGCTTGGTGCCGGGGCTGCCGGTGCCGCTGCCGGTGCCGCTACCGGTGCCGTCGTCGCCTGTGCCGCCGGTGCCGCCGGAGCTGCCGCTGCCGCTACCGGCGCTTGTGGTGCTGCCGGAGCCTGCGGAGCCGCCGGAGCCACCGGAGCCGCCGCTGGCTCCGCGCCGCCACATGCTGCCACCGCGCCTATCAGCGCTGCCGCTGCTACCGCCCCGAAAAGGAGCTTCTTTCCTAACCATTTAGCCTTCATATGTGTCCCCTCCTAATCTGTTTTCCAATCTTTTCCAAAAGAATCCGAACTCACAACTTAAATTGTGAGTTGCAGGATATTTATCATACATCAAGAGCGCAAGTCAAGACTTGGAGCTCAAAAAAAGTCAATTCCAAGCCAGAATTAACCTTGAGAAGTGCAATGACGAAAGCTGATTTGCCGGAATTCACGCAGTCGTCGTGAATAGTAGCAACCGCTCGCGGATGTCGGCACTCCATGCCGCGACATGATAAAATCCCACCACACCCGCCAATAAGGGCGGAACACGCACTACTCATACAGGCAAGCAGGAGGAATCAGATGGCAGACTTTGAAGGCATTTTGCCCGCAATCATCACACCTATGGGCGAAGACGGCAGGCTGAACGAAGCCGCATTCCGCGAGGTCATGGAGTACAACATACAGGCTGGAGTGACCGGATTCTGGATCGCGGGCGGCACCGGCGAAAGCGTGCTTCTCGATGACGAAGAGAACATGCGCATATCAGAAATCGCCGCCGACCAGAATCGCGGGCGTGTCAACAACATCATGCATGTGGGCGCGGCAACCACCGAGCGCGCCGCCAAGCTCGCTGAGCATGCCGCCAAGATGGGCAACGAAGCAATCTGCTGCGTTCCCCCCTTCTTCTATCGCCAAAGCGACGACGCCATAGTCGAGCATTACAGGATTGTAGGCGAAGCGGCGGACATCCCGCTCTTCGTGTACAACCTGCCCCAGTCCACCGGCGTCGAAGTCACGCCCGAGCTGATGCAGAAAATCCAGGATCGCGTGCCCCAACTCAAGGGCTTGAAGCACTCCGCCGTCACATTCGCCAACGTGCGCGCATTCGATAAGATGGGACTCGACTGCCTCATCGGCAACAGCATGCTGATGCTCCCCGCGCTCACCATAGGAGCGACAGGCTGCGTGGACGGCCCCCCGAACTACGCTCCCGAACTTTGGGTGGAGATCTGGAACGCATATCAGGACGGCGACTGGGAGCGCGCGGAAGCGGCTCAGGACCGCGCAAGCGACGCGACTCTGCTGGCGCGTGAGCACGGTCTGCACCCGACCGCCAAGTTCATCCTCAGCGAGCGGCTTGGCATCGACTGCGGCGCTCCTCGCCCGCCGGGACAGCCCCTCAATGCGGCGCAGCAGGCGGACGTTCTGGCTCGCATGTCACAGATTGGCATCGGCAAGGTCGCAGTACCGCAGGGCGACGACTAGACGCCACACTGCTGCTGGTCTCCCTCTGCCAGTCCCCTCGCTTCCAGTCGACGAATTGGCTTGGATCTGACAGAGACCGACAAGTTAGGGGCAGGCGTAATGCCTGCCCCTACATATATAGATACATGAAAGACAATTCTTGAAAAACCCGTCTGTTTCACCCACCTGTTCCTAGAGCATCATCTATAATCAAAAGTACAAACTGCGGCTTTATCCCGCCATTTCGGAGGTTCAGGTGGAAAAGATCTTTGCTATGTTACTAAGAGGCGGCCTGTCCTTCCTTCTGGGACTTGGATTCGGACTGGTCAGCGTCGTCCTCTTTTCCTCGGTAATCCCGCCCAATTGGGGCGAGCGATTGATTATCACAGCGTTATTTGTCGGAATCTGCACGGGCATCGCAGTCTTCTTCTCATGGTTCAAGCCTGAAGCTTCGCGCAATGTCATCATAACTGGCTTTGTCCTGGCATTCGCCATCGCGATCCTCGGCTCATTCGCGGGCTACCTCTACGCCGGTATCTTCGAAATTGAAGTGCGCAACGAAATGCTCATTGCCCGAGGCTCCGCGAAATCACCCGCGATATGGTCATTTGCGGTAGGCTGCTCCACGCTCCTCGCCACCGTGTTCAGCGGCGGATACTACGCCTTCAGGCTCTTCCGCTACCACGAAGTCTAATCGAGATACCAAGTTCTGTTGACATTTGATATACAAAGCGTTTTGGACCTGAAGAGTAGGTTTATTCTGTCATTCTGAACGCAGCGCAGCGGAGTGAAGAATCTAAAATCGTTGCACATACGCCATTCACAGACTTCAGATTCCTCGCTTCGCTCGGAATGACAGGGGACAAATGAGATATGTCCACACAACCAATACAATCAAGGAGAATGAATTCCAGATGAGCAACAACGCGCACGAAGGCGTCAACACGCTGACATTCGACCTCTTCGGCACCGTCCTTGACCTCGCGGGCAGCCTCATGCCGCACATAGACGACTTCCTTGCGAAGCGCGACTCACCGCTGGACGACGCGGGCTTCTGGGCGCAGTGGCGACTGCGTCAGCGCGTTGAGCAGTATCAGGACACCATCATGATGCTCGGACACAGCGGCTACCTCACCGTCTGCAAGTACGCCTTCATGTACACGCTGCGCTCCAACAACATCCCCTTCACCCGCGAGGAAGCCGACGAATTCATGCAGGTCTGGCAGCAGCTCAAGCCCTTCGACGACGCCGTAAAGGGTTTGCATCGCCTTAAGGAACGATACAAGCTAGTCGGCCTCTCCAACGGCGAGCCATGGTATCTCGACCATCTCGTGAAGAACCGAATCAAGTTCGACTTCGACGCCGTCATCTCCGTGGAAGAAGCGGGCGCATTCAAGCCGCACCCCGGCGTATATCGCAAGGCGGCGCAGATACTTGATGTCGAGGCGCGCGAACTGATGATGGTCGCCTCGCACTCCTTCGACATCATGGGCGCGCGCGCATGCGGCTACCGCGCCGCCTACGTCAACCGCTACGGCTTGCCCTATGGAAGAATCTCCCTACCAGCCCGACATCGTGACCGTTGACTTCGAGCAGCTCGCCGACTACCTCATAGACGGCATCGCCCCCACGCTGCCCGACACGCTGCCGTACAGGGAGGAGTAAGCCATGACGACACTAGGCACCGATGCAATTGTAATCGGCGGCGGCGTTATAGGCTGCTCCATCGGCTACCACCTCGCCAAGGCAGGCGTCAAAACCACGATAATTGAACGCGGTGAGATTGGCATGGCCGCGTCCAACGCCGCGTCCGGCATCCTATCGTCAATGTTCGGCAATCCTACGGATCCTTACACACGCCTTGTGAATACCAGCTTGGAAATGTTCCACGACCTTGCGCCGGAATTGGCTGAAGCCTCCGGCGTGGATATCGAACTCGTCCAGTGCGGCGAGCTTCAACTAGCCCTCAGCGAGGACGAAGCTCAGATGCTGCACGCGGCCACAGTCGAAGGCGAATGGCGCAGCTCCGAGGCACAATGGCTGGATGCCCGGGCAGTGCGCGATATGGAGCCCGAACTCAGCGACGGCATAGCGGGCGGGATATTCATGCCCGAGGTCTGCCGCGTCAACAACCAGCGCCTCAGTGCAGCATACGCGCGCTCAGCCGAGCGGCTCGGAGCGACCGTCCGCGAGCACGCCGATGTCATCGGCATGGTGCGCAGCGGACTCCGTATCAGTGGCGTCCGCCTGCACAACGAAGAACTCCAGGCAGACCATGTGATAATCGCCGCCGGTCCCTGGACTAGCATCATCGCCGAGACCCTCGGCAGTCATGTGCCTACGCGTCCTGTTCGTGGCGTCAATTTGAACCTGCAGCCCGCCGGTCGCAGCATCAAGACCGTCATTCACGGCGGCTGGGGTTTGCTCGTCCCTCGCAACGACGGCTCAGTCATTGCCGGCGCAACCGTCGAGGAAGCCGACTACGATGACCGTGTAACCGCCGGCGCAGTGCAGGACATCATGAACATGTCCGAACTGCTAGTCCCTTCCCTCCGAGACGCCCGCCTCAACTGGGCGGTCGCAGGCTTGCGCCCCGGCTCACCCGACGACGCCCCAATGCTAGGCTCTGTTCCCGGCTGGCAGGGCTTGCACGTCGCCACCGGACACTTCCGCAGCGGCATCCTCCTCAGCGCCATCACAGGCAAACTCATGGCAGACCACATCACCGACAAGAAACCTGACCTGATCGAGCACTTCAGCCCAAGACGGTTCAGAGGAGCGTAGTATAATCGCGAACAACGGTGAAGACCAACCGAGCGACGAACAGCCTTACAAAGAGCAGGATGTCCGAATATCCATCCTGACAGTCGCCAAGACTTGGTGGCACTGGTGCGTAGCTCTTATATTTGCTCTTACGATTGGCTGGACCGCGCTGGTAGCATGGAGCGAGATTACAAGCGGATTGCATGAAAGTGCAGTCGATACGATAATCGCCATTATCCGCACTAGCGCATCCGCCGAATCACTGATTATCATGTACTCGCTTATGATAGTGACTGTATTAGACGCAGGGGGAGGTTTCATCATGGTCACAAAGAGGTATCTGGAAGAAAAGTGGCTCAAGCCACAACGGGAGCGACTCCGTCGAGAGGGGCTTGAAGAAGGCGCCAAAAGGGACGTCAAGGCGCCAAGAAGGACGCAAGCAAGAGCGCCAAGCCTGGATTGACTGGAACAGCAGACGCCAGGAAGCCGAAGCACAAGGGCGCCCCTTCAATGAGCCGCCACCAAGTTCCTAACACTGAAGCAGGAAGAGAGTAACACCATGTCCATCAAGATAGGCGTCGGATTCGGCGGATGGCCCTTTCCGAGCAACGACCCCGAACACCTCTGGAAATACGTGGACACCTGCGAGGAGCTGGACCTCGACTCCATCTGGATGAGCGACCGCATCGTCTCGCCCCTTATGAACATGGAGCCGGTTGTCGCCCTCTCCTTCGCAGCGGCGCGCACCAAGAACCTCAAGTTCGGCACAAGCGTGCTCGCGCTCCCGCTCCGCAACCCCACCATCCTCGCGAAGGAACTCGCCACTCTCGACTTCCTATCGGGCGGACGCAGCCTGCCAGCCGTTGGGCTTGGTACTGAGGACGCCAACGAGTACGAGGCTTGCGGCACCACTCGCCGCCGCCGCGTCAGCCGCACCGAAGAAGCAATCGAGGTGATGCGCCTGCTCTGGCGGGAGGACAACGTCACCTTCCACGGACAGCACTTCACCCTCAACAATGTTACAGTGCGGCCCAAGCCCGTCTTCCCGCCCAACGGCATGCCGCCGATCTGGATTGGCGGACGCAGCGAACCCGCGCTCAGGCGCACCGCCCGCCTCGGCGACGGCTGGCTCGTCTCGCAGGCAACGCCCGAGGAAGTCAAGGACGGCGTGGACAAGATCTCCACCTGGGCGGTCGAATACGGCAATGACATCGAAGAGGACCACTACGGCGTCCTCACCAGCTTCTTCATTGACGACAACGCCGATGAAGCCGAACGCATCGCCACTCCCTATATGCTGCGCCGCCGCGAGGACAAACATTGGCGCGAGTTCTCCTCCTTCGGCAAGCCCGAAGTCATCCGCGAACTCATTGACGAGTACATCGAAGCAGGTGCTGAAAAATTCGTCATGCGCCCCGCTTGCCCTCCTGAGATGATGCAGGAGCAACTGGAAATACTCGGACGCGAGATTGTCCCCCACTACCACACCGCAATCACGGACGGAGAGGTTAAGGTCTATGCCTGATTACACCACCAGAGTCGGCAATGTGGAGATAGTCGCCCTTTCCGACGGCAGCATACGCTTCGCGCCCTCCGACTTCTTCCCGACAATTCCAGAAGAAGCCTGGGCGCCATATAGCGACGACCTCACGCCCGAAGGCGACATGATAATGAACCTCGGTAGCTTCCTGTTGCGCTCCGAAGGCAAGACGCTGCTCATAGACACCGGCTTAGGGCATCGACACCGGCCACCTGGACACACTGGACATGGGCAAGCTGCTCACCGACATGCAGGCTAAGGGCATCAGCCGCGACGAAGTTGACATCGTCGCCATAACCCACCTGCCACATCGACCATGTCGGCTGGAACTTCCTGTACGACGAGGACGGCACAGACGGCAGCAGGCGGAATCCTCTCCGGCAAGCGAAAGTCGAGCGCAGCGGCGAGCCGCGTTCCCACCTTCGCCAACGCCCGCTACTGGGTGAGCAACGCCGACTGGCGGGTTTTCACTCGCGGCGCGCTCCGCAAGCGTCCGTACATCCCCGCGCAAGTGCTGCCCCTGCAGGAACAAGGCATCCTTGAACTGTTCGAGGGCGAGCAGGCGATCACAAGCGAGATTACAACGCTGCCCACACCCGGCCACACACCCGGACACACCAGCTTCCTCATATCCTCGCAGGGCGAGCACGCAATCATCACCGGCGACGCCATTCACGCCCGCGCCCAGGCGCAGGAAACGCACTGGAGCCCGCGCGCAGACTCCAAGCCCGATGTCTCCTCCGAATCGCGCCACAATCTGCTCGATCGCATCGAGCGCGACAACGCCATGCTGATCTCCGGACACTTCCCTGCACCCGGCTACGGCACGCTCGTCCGCGTAGAAGGCCGCCGCTACTGGCAGGCATCGTAGTAGCGCATTGGAACAGCAGAAATTTTTGAGTAACTAAGAAGCGGAACGGAGACAGCGGTAATGATGCCAGGCATAGGCGGCCCCGGGCGCGTGGGATCGGGGGTGTTCTTCGGTGGCCTGATAATTGCGCTCGGCGTCCTCTTTCTGGTGAACAGCCTTGGTCTGGTGGACCTCGGCGAAAACATACGCCAATGGTGGCCGCTGCTCCTCATTGCAATCGGTGCATGGATGCTGATTGCCAGCCGCTTCCGTAAGGTCGTCGCTCCCATCATCTTGATTGGCATAGGTGCATTCATCCTTATTGGCAAACTGGGCTTTTCAATCGACCTCTTCCAATACTGGCCCGTCATTCTCATAGTCGTCGGCGTAATCGTTCTCAGCCGCGCCATTCGCTCGCCACGCTGAAGCCCTTTTCTGTAAGCCGTACCCATTGCTCACAGGTCGGCGTCGCAAACCGATAGGAGAACCCAATGACCGCAAGAAACAGCGCCAGACGCTCAGGACTCGGAGGCAGAGTCTTTTTCGGCGTTTTGGTCATTGCCGTTGGCGTCCTCTTCCTGGTGGACAAGGCCGGTATCGCCGACTTGGACGGCCTCCTCGATTGGTGGCCCTCGCTGATCATTCTATACGGCGCTTGGCGTCTCATCGCGAACAGGTTCCGCAGCCTCTTTTGGCCGCTGCTGCTGATATTCGGCGGCGTCGTACTTCAACTTAGGCAGCTTGACACAGCCGATGTATTCAGCACTATTTGGCCTGCCATTGCTCATCGCCCTTGGCGTCGCCATTGTTATCGGCGGCATGCGAAGTCGGAACCGAAGACAGCGTGGTGGTGGTTCCTCCCACAGCGCCTCGACGATAATTGACCTAGATCTAGGCGCTCCTGCGGACGCAGATGACGGCACGCTGCACGCAGTAGCCGGTTCTCAGGATAGAATAGTCTCCGGCGACTTTTACGACGGCAGCATAAATGTCGTCATGGGCAATGGCACCCTCGATATGCGCGACGCCACAATTGTGGACAAGCCCGCAACGCTCGAAGTTTCGGTCGTGATGGGCGAAGTGAAAGTCCGTGTGCCCACTGAGTGGGATGTGCGCATCGTCAACTCATCGCAAATGGGCGATACGAAAGACACGCGCCGCAGCCATAACAACAGCGACGATCCCGACCTCATTATCAGAGGCAGCGTGACTATGGGCAGCCTCCATATCACAGACTGAACTGACATTACAAACACTTATCGGAGCATCACATGTACCCTATCGACCTATCGGACAAGTACGGCATCGTCTTCGGCATCGCCAACCACCGCAGCATCGCCTGGGCGATAGCGCAAATTCTCCATGACGCAGGCGCAAATCTAGCCATCGCCTATCAGAACGAGCGCGTCAAAAACGGCGTCGCCCGGCTGGTGGAAGACTGGGAAGGCGACACCCCGCTAATCGAGTGCGACGTCAGCGATGATGCCAATGTGGAGGCAGCGTTCGACACCGTAGGCGACAGGTTCGGCTCGCTCGACATCGCAGTGCACAGCATCGCCTACGCTGATAGAAACGACCTCGGCGGCCCCTTTGTGGACACGGGAAGGGAAGGCTTCCGCCTCGCACTAGACATCAGCGCATACTCCCTCTTGCCTATAGCGCGCTACGGCTCCGCGCTCATGCAGCAGAACGGCGGTAGCATCATCACCCTAACCTTCCAGGCAGCAAACCGCGTATTCCCCGGATACAACGTAATGGGCACAGCGAAAGCCGCGCTCGAAAACGAAGTCAGGCAACTCGCCTCCGATCTCGGTCAGCAAAACATCCGCGTCAACGCCATATCCGCCGGCCCCCTCGACACCCTCTCATCCCGCGTCATCAGCCACTACCGCGACATGAAGCGCATCCACGCCGAGCGCTCCCCAATGCGCCGCAACATCACCACCGACGAAGTCGCCAAAGCAGCCCTCTTCCTCTGCAGTGACCTCTCCGGCGGCATCACCGGCGAAATCCTCCAACACGTGGACACCGGCTACAATTTTCGGTGAATAACCGGATCTGAATGGATATTACTCACTACTTATGGTGGCTGATATGACAACTGTAACAAAGGCCGCAGCTGGAATGTATTCCGCTAGGATCGCTTCTAGGATAGCTAGGGTGCGTCCACAGAATTTTCAAGCTTGGATTAAAGCAAACCTTTTGCATCCACACAGAGCCAACATCGGCCATCGATATGAGAACATTTACTCATATGATGACCTTCTGCTGATCCGACTTATTGTCAGATTGAAGGAGGGAGGGGCGGCTCCTAAGGCCATAAGAGTAGCGCTTGACACCATTGCATACATGAATGATGGCGACCGTAGTGCGGGAAAGGGCGCGCGGGTCCTGTCAGCGATGTTTTATTCTGGCATTCCTTCAATGATGCCCCCAAGATCCGAATGGAATCCTGGCTCGCGGCTTCGGAAGGGCCCACAGAAGTGTTGCATAGTTTTTTTCCCGCGCTTATAGAAACGTTTTTTGCGAAACGAACTCTGTACCCACCCAGCGATAAATTCAAGCACATAGAAATCGATCCAGAGATTTTGGGAGGTGCGCCCGTCATAAGAGGCACGCGAATATCAACGCGTGAGATCGGCGCCGGTGATGTCCGTCTTGGAATCTGGAGGCAACCCCAGACAAGCATATCCTTCCTTGAGCGACGAACAGATTGCGGAAGTTGAGGACTATGAGAATTCATTCCTACAGGCAGCGTAATGCTTGTCGCCGACGCTGATGTGCCATTTCCAGTCTTCGCCGCGCGGAATAATTTCTTCTACAATATCCGAATCTGACCTTTGATGACATCGGCGCTCCTGTGCGTCCTGACAAGGCGCTTATGGAGCATGTGCTGCAGCACGTCGAGTTCTCATTACTCGCGACACTGGAATACCTTCGCAAGCCTATGTCGCCCAGTTTCAATGCCCCAGTTTGGTTCAGTGCGTTTCTTTCTCTCCGATGGAAGCACTCCGACGCCGAAGGATTTTCCAGGAAAATGGCGATGATGGATGTCTTCGATATGGTGAGTAATGCGGGAATGCGGCGGTCCGCACGAAACTACTCCGCAATCTAATCACAGTCAACCGAAATAGAAGCAGACCTAGAGCAATGGTCAGCCGTGTCTGCAACCCTGACGAAATAGGCAAACACTGAGGTGGCGCCTGCTAAACTCTCATTCAGCATCTCAACAACATAACCACCAGAATACCGAAACACCGAAATACCAAGGACCAACACATGAACTGGGCAGAAACCATCGTACAGGCGCTCAAGGACAGCGAGATCTCCCTCATCGCCTTTGTACCCGACATCAGCATCCATCAGGTAACCAAGCTCCTCGAAGAGGACGACTACTTCCACGTAGTCGCAGCCACGCGCGAAGAGGAAGCCATCGGCCGTCGGTCATCCGAGGCGCTTACGGCCGCCGGACGCAAGCCTGCAGTCCTTCTATGCATCCATCGGCTTTCGTCAAACTGCATCAAACGCCATCGCATCAGCATCGCCCTCTTCAATTCCCTAATCCGCATACCACTGCCCATGTTCATCACCATCAACCTGCGCGGCTAATTTCGAACGAATTCAACCGGCAGAACCTCGCGCAGTTCCTGGTGTCCGCACCATCCCGCCAATCCTCGACGTGCTTGGCATCACCCACCATACCTACGGCACGAAGCGAGACGGCTGTACCGCGCGTCGATGGAGCGCTCTCAACACTCTGGCTACGCCGTCGCGCCAAGCACTCGAATTTTGCAGGGATGAACCCCCCCTATTGCACGGCGGCAAACTCGCATAGCCGCTCAAAATGGACGGCTTGTGCCGCCTCTTCCATAAGTAGGGGGCAGTAACTCGAAACACCCTGAGTTACAGATAACGGAACACACGGAGGCCAAAAAATTGCACAGACTTTCCGCCACCAGGATGCTGCTCCAGGACGCAGGAGACACGCCCATCGTCTCCAACCTCGGCCCGACCTCCGATGAGCTCTGGCACATCGCGCCCGAACCGCGCACCGCACCTTCTACCTGCTAATGGCCTTCGAGCGTTCTCACTCTGCATCACCCTTGGCGCTCTTGCAATGGCCCTCTCCACCGACGAGAAGGTAATCTCACTCGACGGCGACGGCAGCCTGCTCATGAATATGGGCACGCTCGCCACCATCGGCAGGGAGCAGCCACGCAACCTCAATGATCGTCATCGTCTGGGACAACGAGATGTGGGGGCAGACCGGCGCGCAGCCCACGCACACCGCCTACCCTTATCGGCAGCAACCACCCTCGAACAGGTTGGACTCAGCTTCCTACATTCCCAGGACCGCCACCGTAGATGACGAAGAAGCCCTTGCCACCGTCTTCCGACAGGCAATGAACGAAGACGGCCCCTGGCTCATCGTCGCCAAAATAGAAGAGGAAGGCTACCTGCCCACAGCCCCCGCGAGCCGGAGATGACCCTCTACAAATTCCGCAAGACCTTCGAGTAGCCGCCCCAAACACGGTGTCGCTCATGCCCGAATCCATATACATCGAAGTCGATGACAACTCCACTGCGGTACATGCGCTGATGCTACACAATACGAGAGGTGGGGGCGCACGCCGACGCAGTGCCAGTATCGCAGATCGTAATCGACGAGCCCGGCAGACCGCCCGGCATATATCAGGTAACGGGGTGGAGCAGCGAAGGCGACGGCGAGCCATGTCCTGCCATGTACGCCCCCGTCTCTGACTCCGGGCAGGCTGTCGTGCATCTTGTCTTTGGCGGCGACTGGGGCAATCCCATGAAACCCCGCCCGAATCCCAATCGCAAAGACTGACTGTCCCGATGCCCCCCGCACCAGTTCGGCGAACCCTACGTCATGCTAATGGACGAAAGTGCGATCGTCCTAGACGAATCGATGGAGTAAGACCGCGCGCTAGGCATACGGCTATCCCCTCCATCCCGTCCATCGATGTCAGCTCCGCGCTCCCTCACCCACCGCCGCAGGCTGCGCAGCCTCAGCCTCCGAATCCGAAGTCATCCTCCCGCGCAGCGGACGCATCAGCAAGCCAACCAGACCCACCGCTATAAACCCCAGCACCGCGTTGATAGTCATCGCCATCGGCGCGCCTATCGCGTCCGCCGTCCAGCCGAGCATCAGCCCGCCGATAGGCCCCGCGCCTATGGAAAGCGTGAGTATGCCCAAGCACCTGCCGCGCATGTCGTCGCGCGCCATCAGCAGATTATAGATCGCCTGCCTTGCGCCGTACAACCGCCTCCCGTTCCCAGCCATACGCGATCACACACAGCATCACTGATGCTCAGCGACAAACGCCGTACACTGCGAGAACGAAACAGCAGCAACATCACTCAGCCCTGCCATCGAGCACCAAGAAACAGCTCGACCATGGTGCGTAAGGTTAGACGCCGAGCGATCAGAATTGACGCCATCAACGCGCACCTTCCACATGCCAGCAGCACTCCCATCAGCGTCGCCCCACTGCTGCAGTCACGTGGAAGCAACACACACCGAGGATGGCTGCTGATACGAAACAGCAGCATGGTCGACTGAATACGTTATCAGCAATCCCACCGCAAGCAGCGTTTGCTCATCGCTGTAAACATAATAGCGAATTCCCCTCAACAAGATTTCTGAGTATGTTCCTGAAGCCTTCGTAGTTGTGGCATCGCGAGGCTGGCGTCTCTCACATTCAGCATCATCACACCGCTGACGTGATTGAAGATACCAAGTCCACGGCATAGCGGCCTCCAGCCCATGCCGTCGCTGAATGCGAAAGACTTATGCTTAGCAGCCCTCCTCCAATCAGCGGCCGCAGCAAAGTGCGGCTTGAGTGCATCCACTCCCCACCCCACCGAGTCAAGCGCGATGGCGTTGTTCACGCGCGGCCCTGGCACCCAGCACATCCCCAGCACGATGTGCGGCGCGAGGGCAGATCCAGTCCAGCCCCCATGCGAGTACCAACCGCCGACCAGCATCACTATAGTATGCAGTGCCGAACTGTAACGTTACTCGGTGGAAAATCGGATGGTGCGCGGGTCCGAGAGATGAGCGCCAGCCATCCTGTCGCTGCCACTAGATGTGCGACAGCGTAACCAGCAGCAGCTCTGCGCTTGTCCAGCCAAGTCTGTCGCAGCCCGCCCCCGGACACCGCCCAGCACCACAGAGCGCCCATTCCCCGAAACAGCGTAACCAGAAACGCGCTGCCGGTAACCTCGAACATCGTACCAGCCCAACATCGTCATCTTCATCAGCGCGGATTGTACGCGAAGAAGTTTGCTTCACCCACAGCAAGCGGAGTTTGGGTTCAGGAAGGAATCGAATGTTGGTCGGCGGGGTAATGCTTCTGGCCCACGTCCTGGAACGTCCGTCGTGAATTAAGATCAATTACTAACCAGAACAATTCTATTCCGCGCGGGGGACATCCCCCCTGAAGCGAAAATGCGCGCATACCTCCGACACAAGAGCGCTTATTTTGCTACAAACTTCGTTTTAGGTGTTTGCGATTTTTTCTCTGATGTTTGTTCCGGCACTCGCTCACCCTGTGTGTGTTGTAGTCTCAAGCCCGTCATTCTGTGGGAAGCGGCATCCACGCGTTCATCAAATTACAGACTCAGAAGTCATGCTCGGTTGGCATATATATTGGACGGAGGTCGGCACGGCCGATCCCACGACAGAACTGACAGACTGAAAACGAACGCCGACAAACCGGCCTGACTGAAACCCCTATCTATGGAGCCCCTCCCTTGAGCTTCATAACCCGACTCGGCGTCTCAAAGACGCCGCTGTAACCGTCCTCCATAATGATTATGCTCTTCGTGACTAGCGTCTATCCCTACATCAACCTCCATGCGCGAACTGTTCCCGCGATATATCATTCCTCCAACGTCGCATTCAACGTATTTTCCCCTCCAACTCCGCCAGAAACGAAACGATGATGCCGACGTCAGTGAACCGATTGAAGAAGCCATTGCAGGCCTCGGCGCCTCAGAGAGGTTAGCTCCGTCTCCACTGAAAGCCGCGTCAATCTTCGGCAACCTCGGACTTCGGCCACCGACAGTGGATTGATAGCAGACCGCGAGAGTTGAGAGGTCGCTGTAAACGGCACAGCCCTTGCCAGATTGGCATGTGTGGTCATCGTCAGCCGCCTCACAACAGCCCGACGCGTTCCCGGTCATTCAGTTCACCGTACCGGAGACGAAGATATTCCCCCTACCATCGCAGACGCAGCTTCTTGTGGAACGATGTGTCATCACCCTCGCCTCAGACTCGTAGAATGGGCGGTCCGCAGCGATGTTACAACGTTCGGAGAAATCGAAGAGTCATGTCATCGTCTCTGTGGATGCAGGACAAGCATGTCAAGGACCTGCGTCTTCTCGTTCCGTGCAACGTTCCAACTCCATTACCTCAGACAACATGCCTGCCCAGCCGGCAGCATACCACCCGTGGCACAGGATAATCCCGTTCGCACCGCGACACGAATTTCGGTTCGCTGGAAGACATCGCCGGCCGCCAGCTCACAGTCCGTTTTCGAGCAGACGGATACAGAGCGTTTCCCTCAGGGCCCCGCCAGACAGGCAGCGCTCCATCAGGTTTCCGTGCCGGCCGACGGTATGAACCTCCACCACCCCGCTGACACACCGCAGGCGCATTTCCGCGCCAACTGTGCAAGACCGGGCCTCATCCTGGCCATCTTAAAGATCCGTGACTTCCACCAGCCGACCAGTTACCGATGTTCCGTCAGTATCGCAATGGATGCGATCAATTGACGACGCTCTCCTCCCTCCCGCCGGGCTTGGAGGTCCGGAGCTTTCCAACGATGGCCCCAAGTGCGTGAGTGTCGCTCGAAGCTGCTGCGCGAAGGCACATTCGCTTCCTCTTCGCCGTTTGCTGTGGTTTTCATATTCCTGGCTGAATTCAGGCCGCTCGACCTCATGTCGTCTCGTTCCACCTCATCCTCCTTGTCCCTACCAGCCATCATCGCCTCTCCATACCCTCTGAGCTCCTCACCGGCGTTTTCTGCTGATCCTGTCACTACTGACCACCGACATCGTCTTAACTTCATGTTCCCTCGCCGTCTCGCTAAATCATGCGCGTCGGGCGTGTCGATGCCGACAGCAATCGTTTGTGCTGGAAAATGTTTTCCGTGCATCTTCACCTTGGCGAGAGCCGCTACGACGAGGCTTGCGCCATCATCGGCAACCCAGGATGTGGCCGCGGCGATCGCTATCCTCCACACTCCACATACTCGTGTTCATTTCGTCCCTCTCCACTCTCGCCGTTCAGTCCCGGCATTGAGGGGACATTCTTCAACCCGTTCGCCCTAAGTCCGTCAGC